AAAATTTAGCCCCGGGCCGCTCGACTGATTCACTCATTTATGCAGTTGCTTGTCTAATGGCATTTTAATTGTCTCATGCGAGTTGCCAGTTTGCCATCGCCACTGCCATCATCATCGGCGTGCGCCACCTAGCGGCGGCAGCCCGCACTCGCACTCGCACCCGCAAAAGTTCCGCCCACAAGTTCGCAACCAGAAGTTTTTATTTCGAAAATAAACTCATTTTAAATACTTTTGCCAACAATTTGCCATAATTTGGCTCATTTCCTACAACACACGACGCTGCCAGCTTTGTCACCAGTGGCGGGGTTGTAGTGGGTTAAAGGGGGGCGGGAATGGGAAAGGGGGTTAAAGCGGTGACTACTGCAAACTTTTGCGTGTGCTGTGCCCGGGGAGGGGGGGGGGGGCGTGGCAAACCCGCCACTCCGCCCCCTTTTGTTGCTTGCACATTTTGGCATTGTGTGTTAAGTTCTTAAGCGCTGCCAAAAACTTGAGCCCGTGCAGGCAACCCTAAGGCGGCAACCCCACAAATGCCACGCCCCCCCGACTCCCGACGGCCGCCCCCCGTCGCTCATAAAATAGTTAAAATGCGACAGTTGCGAGTGGGGCGATACCGACCCCGCAGAGACCCTCTAGAAAACTGGAGAAAGTCAGTAACTTCACGAAAATGAATTCTTTAAAAATGACTTAAGATATAAAAAAATTCTGCAAGATTAAAATATTATTTGTTTTATCATTTAATAAATAGAAAACTTTTTCAACTATAGAATAATAATTTTGTTTTTAAGAACCATTACAATTTTGAAAGATATTTTTTATATAAACGACTGTAGGATGGCTTTATAGACTAGATTCCACAGATCTTACCTACGAATACATAATTTATTAGTTAAATTTCAGTCAGGTGAACTTGGGCAAATATAGGTGAATTTATTACGGCTTTTTCCAGGGTATCGGGCACAAAAAGTGCCGCCTATGCAGTTATAACAAGGTGGGTGGCTGGGTGGTTGGGTGGTGGTGCAGTTGCTACTTTATTACAGGGCAAAAACCGAGTCCGGCGGAAGGAGCAGGAAGAGACATCTCATTCTTGTCTAAGGTCCCGTCGTTTTTTGGCCTGTTTGCATAATTTCCCAAAGAGAAGCAACAATTGGGGGTGGCAAGGGGTTAAGCCAGGGCAGGGGTGGGTTAAGCACAGTGAGGAAATTTAGAAAAATATGTAAGATATTGTTTATGAATATATACATTTATTGATTTTTTAAATTACATTTGCCTTTCATTAGAAACCCCATTTTAATATTAGCTTACTAAGTATAAATTATAAAATATTTAACTTATATGAATCTATAACTTATTATAAACATCTACTATATTTGGAGCTATATACACTTTAAAACCAATAAACATTATGTACATTTTTTGAAACAAATCATTTTATCTGCCTAACTTCAAATTAAATTGTTTCCTGTGCAGTTGACTGGGTCTGGCTTTTATATATATATATATTGAACCATCTATCCAGCAGACACAAGGGTTCACTTCGGAAGAAGTTAGGAGCCCAAGTTGAAAGGAATAAGGGACAAAGGGGAGCAGGAAACACAACGCAGGATAAGGGCAAGGATAAGGATAAAGGAGGGGGTGCCACACAATGGACTCCCTTATGTCTTCAAAAATTATATTTTAAGTTCTGAAATTACAATACAAAATTGAAATATCTTATTTCAGCGTTGCAGTTGGAGGCAATTTTTCATGCGTATAAAGGGGGCAGGGGGAAGGACGAAGGACGAAGGGCGAGGGACGAGGGACGAAAAGCTAACGAGCCGCATGGCAGACAAAACTTTGCTGAATTTATCAACGAGTGTGTGTATCTGTATCTTTTGCATTTATGAAAATGTAATAATAACAAAAGACGCAATGCAGACGCGGCAGAAGTAAACTGGAAACAAACACAGGACTTTCAGGACGAGGGCGAAGGAGCGGCAACCAGGATGTGCGGCATATGTGTGCGTGGCAACCCTAGACAAACATATGGCTCACCGAATGCACAATGTATCTGCATCCGCAACTGCATCTGTATCTCTTTCTGTCTCCGTGTCGCCATCTCGCCAACTTCTGCTAACGAAATTTGCAACTTAAAAAATTTGTCAAAACAAATTATCATAAAAAGCTCATCAGTCGGCGGGAAGTGAGACAAAGGGAAGGAAGGTATCTTCAACAGACCGAACAAAAGAACAATTAAGCCTTGTGTGTATAAGATGGAATATTCGCCAGAAAAGTCAATAAATACACTTTTAAGACGCAGATAATCCTATGATAATCCTATACTAATTTTATTAATAAGTAATTTAAAGTTATAATAATATTAAATTATCATAGCATTAATAAAAGTATGGTTTACTAATTTACATATAGAGAAGATGGAATAATGTTTAAAATATTTTTTATTTTATTTTCATTAGTTATATTATTTATACACGTTTACACAACCTTCACCCTTAAGAAACATTTGAAAACTTTAAGATCTGTGAATGCATCCCAACTTCGGCTCTGCTTAGAAATTCTAGTTTAAGGCATTAGGTGGGAATGTAATTAAATTGAACTTGCCCTGAAAGGGAAGCACTCAGAACGCAGCTCCAAAGTGAATTCAAATAAACCAGTGTGGGGTTTACCTCTGCTCCCCCTCTCAAGAACTCGTATATATATGGGAATATGTGATATCCCCTCGAAAGCAAATGAAACTTCAATTAGCAGCACAAATCAAAGTCAGACAGTTTCGGTCGAAGGACAAGCGGCATCAGGAACATCGGAGAATGAAACCAGAAACCAGAGGCCAAACCAAAAATAAAATATAAAAAAAAAAGTTACAAAAAAGTTAAAGCCGCGTGTCCAGAAAAGTTGTGGGCATTAAACTGATAGAAAAAGAGGGGCTCAAATGGGGGAAAAACAAAATAATTGGAAGGGGTTCTATGGGGGGGGGGGGCGCTTGAGAGTTTTGCTGCGATATTTTGCCTTTGATAGAAAAACAATTTTTCTACTCCATTTCACGCGTTCAAGGCAGAACCATAAAAGCTGGCCAGAAAGAGAGGGGGAGTTCGGCCAGAAAGAGAGGGGCAACTCGGCCAGAAAGAGAGGGGTATTTTGGGGGAATCGTCAGCGTAAAGATGCCGCCAGAGCGATAAACGCTAGAAATGAAATAACAATAAAAACCAATTTTTTATATCGAACACCAAACTGAAGTTTAGCCCTCTCTTTCCAACACACTCGTTCTTTCTCTTTCTCCCCGGCGAAAGTTGGTGTATGTGTGTGTGTTGACCCAATTTTCGTTGGCCTTGTTGTTGTTACCGTTCACTGGTTTCTCGCAGTGTACAAATTTCGATTTGCAAACAAAATATTAGGCAGAAAAATACATCACGTCATTGGCCAGAACGATTTTAAGTTAGAAAAGCTAAAAACAATCGATTAGAATGTGAAACGAATTGTCAAAAATGTAAATAAAATAATAAAAATATTAATACACTTAAAAAAAACAGAAATAATAATAAGGTATTTTTATGATACCAAACATATTATTATGAATTGATTAGAACTATCAGCTTTTAATTTTACTTACAATATTTTTATTTAATAATTTAATACAATAATGTTTATTTAATATTTAATATTTTTAGAAAACTTGTTGAAAACTCTTTTTAAAAATATAATTATTTGAATTAATATTTTCTAATATTTTAAACACACCCACTGTACAACCTGTAAGTCCCATTGTTTTGCTTGTCATTAGCAACTCAATTAATTCATAAAGGGAAGCTGCCCACCCGAAATATACGTATCTACAAGTTCATTAATTAGAACCTGCTGGCTTAATATTATTCCACACACTCACAAACGTTGTTCTTAGGACGGGTTTTTTCTAGCCCCTTCCACCCGAAAAAAACGCTAAAAACTTTTGTCAATAAAAGAAAACATTAACAAATACAAAAAAGAAGAGTTAAGACGGGTTTTTTGTTGATGCTTCTATTTGTTTGCCTGTTTGCTGACCAAATGTGGAGGCTGCCAGCTTGGAGGGGCTTAAAGGGGGTTACAAGTGGTCAAAAGGGGGGTGGCAGATGTCCAAAAAAAAGCGGTAAGAGGGGCTGAAAACGTGGCGCCCAACGAGCGAATTCCAATTGACCTACAGCGCGTTCATTTGAAGTTCAAAACTTGACCATGAAGTGGCAGATGCTCAGCGGAAATCAAAACCGAAACTTTGAGCCGGGGATTCATTCGAATAACCACTTGTGCTAAGGTCGATGGGAATCACCCAGAAAAATTAGAGTCATTGAGATGATCTAGCAAACAAATTTGTCGGGTTTATCTATGGGGTGTTTCAAGCGAGATTCTTATAAACACGGCATTGGCCAGAATTTGTGTGTCATTTGCGAAGTCATTTCACACTTTTTCATGACAATTTGAATGATTATTATAGCTTAAGGAAACTATTCTGTATTGGGTATTTAATATAATAAATACACTTTTAAAAACCCTTGCTACTTTAATAGCTTGATAATACCCTTTTAAATAAGTTTGGAAAACCCTTAAACTATATTCATAAATATTAAAATTATGTTTCAAAAATATTACGACCTGGTGTTCAACAGATTAACTATCGATTATCTAAACACCATTTCACCGGCTTTCTCTGTCAAATGGAGTCTTTTAAGTAATTCAAATATATGCCCGGATAATCAGTAAACCTTTCTCCCGTGCCAAAAATCCCCCGCGAAAGAGAAACCATCTAATGAGGCGGGGAGGCCCAAAAAAAAGATAGATACCTATTCGAACTTGTGATCGGGACAGGAAAAAACCAACATCGAAAAGTGATCAGTGTTTGTTTATTGTTCCCCGAAACGAGTTAAACGTGATTTCGGTTCTTTTTTGGGGGTCTGTCGCATCGAACAATAGGCATATTGACGGTTGGGCGTCAAGTCGGACGTTAATTATTGATTAGTTTAAAGCCCGATTAGCAAACCGGCATCGGGGTTTAGAACGAATCGGAACGTCCGACGCCCAACAACTTCCACCGCGCTCTCCGAAAACGGTTGAAAACAAGAAAAATCAAGACAGATACACGGAGAAAAACAGCCTATAATTGGTAATATTTTTGTTTTTGTGATGGTTATGTAAAAAGTGTCCTTTATAAGAAATGCAGGAATTAAGAGTTGCTTATTGCTTATAAGTAAGATGTATTACTATTTCCATTAAGTTATAAATGCATTTTAGTTGTGCTTTATTATAAATGCAAGATAACATGCTGAAAAGAAAAATAAATTGATGAAAAATAAAAATTTACGACTAAATAATAAATAGTAAAAAAGATAAAAGTAATGCCAACCCCTAAGATTGATTTTCTGTTCACATATTTCCTAAATATAAACCAAATAAAACTCACAAATCATTTAATACAAAGGTTTAAAAAGTTAATGAAAAACTATACAAGAAAATTTTGAATAGAAAGATAAAGATAAGACAAGATTTTACGATAAAATAATAAATAGTAAAAGATATAAGACTAATGGAAACTCCTTAGATTGATTTTCTATTAACATATTTCTTATTTATAAACAAAATAAATTATGCAAATTTAAAAAAAAATGAATACAAGGTTATAGCTAGTACAAAACCATACAACATAACTTGGAATAGAAAGATAAAATTACATTTACAACAAGGAAGTAAAATTTTTTTTCAATTTTGTTAACAGTTTACCTATAAAAAATATACCATAGTTTGAATAAGATTTACAAATTGTGGATATAATAAATTCATTAATGTTCAAACATTAATTGTCACTAAAAAACAGTAATCAACTATTTTTTGGACTTTTGAAATATTATAAAATCTTATTTTTCGGGATAATTTAATACTTGAAAATAATCAGGGGCAAGTACAATTTTTTTTCAGTGTGACCAGAGAGGCAGAGCTGCGGCGAAGAACCGGCGGAACAACAAACTGAACAGCGACACCGCAAAAAAAACACGGCGGAGAAACAATAAAAGTCGGCCAGCGGCCAAAAACGCGCTCATTGCGTGCGCTGTTTTCGCAACGGCAACGGAAAATTAGCCACCCGGTTGAGGTGCGAGCGAGACAGCGAAAGTACGGCAGCGGAATACGGATTTGCAGAGTAACGGGAAAAGTACGGAAAGTGCGGAAGACCCAGAGGACAGGCGTACGAAATACGGAACACGGAGTGTACGGATACGAAGTACGGATACGAAGCCAGGATGCGACACGCATTTGTTGGATTAATTGTGTGCTGGCTGGCAGTTTGTCAACCGCAAGGTAAATATTTTTCGAATACGCCACGGCATTTGCGGGGGATCGGGCATAGACAGGATAATGACAGGATATATACCCCACGCACACACCCACGCACACACACACGCACCCACATTAAGGCCAACACACACGGGGCCTTTGTTATTACAGTAATAATTGCAAAATTATCGCTGGATTTTGCGCCTACGTGCGTTGCATTGTCAACAGAAAAACAGTGAATAGTCTTTTGCAAAAGGCGAAAGAGACAGATATATTGGCAAAGAAAGAGATAGCATATGTGGAAAAGGAGGCATCAAAGGTCTAAGGGCTTATCCATGTTACAACCACATTTTAAAGCTTATTATCTGCGCTTTCGTGGGGATCAGTCTATTTTGTACATTTATATCTGACATGGAACCCATGTTGGGGGTTTAGTACTTCAAACTTTAACGATAAAAAGGGTTTTCAGTATTTAAATACGTTTTTAAGGACATAGAAATATTAGATTACTAGATTTCGAAACACAAATGTTCGCTAATAAACATTAGATACACATATTAGTTTCTGCGCTTTCGAGGGGAACAGTCTATTTCATTCATTTATATGTGACAGGGAACCCATGTTTAAGGGCTTAGTTCTTCAAGTATTAACAACGAAAACTGTTTTTAGTATTTAAATACATTTTTTAGGACCTAGAAATATCATATTACTAAATTTTGGAATACAAATGTTCGCTAGCTAACATTAGATACACATATTATTATCTGCGATTTCGGGGGGATCACTCGATTATACATATTTGTATCAGTACATAAACATAACAGCTTTGCCTGACTAGAAACTTTAAAATTTTAGTATATCAATTTTTTAGTTGTATTTTAGTCTATGGCTTTAGGACCTAAAATTATCGTTTTACCAAATTGTGAAATTTATAAATAAATTTTTTGTAGAGCCAATAAAAGACAATGATTGATTAGAAGTATTTTTCAGAATATACATATTTATAATTTATGCAAGAAAAAATATTCTTATGAAAACGACAGAGATGCCAATATCTCCCCCTTTTGTTAGACATTTTAACATAAGCACCATCTCTCGAGATGTACACTCAAAAACCAGTTAGAGATCTTTCCAGCCTTCGTCCCTTTCTCGCAGCCAGCCATCTCTTTCGTTTCTGTGCAATCTAACAAATTTTAAAACGAACAATACTCAGAAAGTGTCGAGGAATAAAGTAGAATGGAATAAAATGTGTGGAACAAGTTTTGCGAAAAGATTATAAATGCATGGTGTTCGGGGGATTTTGTTTACTTTTGACTGCTGTCAGGGCAACTTGCGGAACTTTCCACTGATGTTTGTTACCACTTTTTTACGCTCGCTTTAGTTGCAAGTAAAAAACGTTGAAATGTCTTTTCCACTGACAATTGCATGAAACTCGAAAACCGATTACCCCAATGATGGATTTACTTAGAATTTGCATGCTAGTGCTTGGCAATTTTTTATGAAGCTGCTTTGAACGGAAAAGAGCTTTATAAAAATTTTAATGGCTTTTTAAATAAAGTTAATGAAATGTTTTACCTTGCTCATAAAATGTATAAACAAAATATTTGTCCCCTTAAAAAAAACATCTCGACTGCATTGTTAAACAATCTACATTTAAAAAAAAACAAAAAACACATTTAGTACTAGACTGAATTGTGTTTAATAAGTAAAATAAAATAAAATATGCAAGTAATTTAGATATAAGGACAACATGGCGTATGAGCGTTAAATATTACGTATACGCAAAGTGTGGCAAGAAGTTTCTCTTAAAAAAATAAGAAATATTTATATTAAAGCCCATATTTTTTCTGTTTTGTGTAAACAGCTTTTCTTTGACTGAAAATATTTTAATTGATTGTGTGAGTGTTTTTTATTATTATTTTATTTTATTGATATTTATTATTATTTCCTGTCTGTTCAGCTAACTGAATCGCATGTGTGCGAATAAAATCATATTTCCTAGGTTCGCCAGCAAAAAGTGATACATATTTGAACTTTTATATATTTATAATACAATTTTGTATCTCTTTTTTTCAGCTGAGGCGCAGTTCGGGGGCTTTGGACCACAGCCGCAGTTCCTGCCGCAGTTCCAGCCGCAGTACCAACAGGTATACCGCCAACCGCAGTTCCAACAGGTGTACCGTCAACCGCAGGCTTACCAACAACAACCTCTGGTCTATTACCAACAGCCCCAGCAGTTCCAGCAGCCCCGCCAGCGTCAGGGATCCGTCTCCAAGGCGAACACGAACGCCTACGAGCGGCAGGTGGACTTCGGGAACAATCTGGAGTATACCCAGGGTCTGTCCAACTCGAGGGCGGTGACCAAGCAGAATGGCCAGCGGTTGGTGACCAACAGCCAGGCGCAGACAAGGGACGTGGACCTGGGTGGCCTGCAGTTGGGCAATACCCTAACGAGGACCAGGACGAATGCCAATGGCCAGGTGTCACAGGGCATTGCCGATCAGTTCCGGATTGGAAACGTAGGTCTGGGCGCCTCCCTGTCGCCGCAGAATCTCCAGAATGGCTTTGGACTGCAGCGCGGTGCCGACGGTGACCTCCGCCTGGGTCTGGGCCTCCTCAATCTCGACCTGGACCGGAATGTGCCCAACCCAACGAACACCCTGTCGCAGGCCCAGGTGAATGCCCAGGGCAAGGGCGCCAAGGCGGGATCGAGCAGTAACACGCAGTCGAATACCCAGAAGTATGGCGGTGTCACCGTCACCGACACGCGCTCCAATTCCAATGCCTTTGGCAAGACCAGACGGGGTCAGACCTCGGCCTCCACTGGCGGATTCGGAGGCAATGCGGCCACCAATGGCCAGGTATTCGGCGGTCCCTTCCAGCGGGTGGTGCGCCAGAACAGGCCAAGGCCCAAGCGGAGGGCCCAGTTCGTGCCCTTCGGTTATCCCGGTGGCGGTTTCGCCCCACGACCAGGACCCTTTGGTGTGGGTCTTCTGGACAGGCCGAGGAGGCAGTTCGGCGGGTTTGGCGGTTTCGGAGGTGGTCCCGGCTTCGGAGGTGAGTTTTTGATTATTTTTTATTAGATAAAATAGATTTGTATGCCTTTGATACTGTTATATTTTTAAAGAAATTCATTTGTTTTCTAGCCCCTCTATTTTATTTAAGACCCTCTTTTAATACCTTTTAAAAGTTAAATTTTTGTTTGAAAAATGTATATATATCATTATTTGAATATCTTCTGCCAGACAAACCCCTAATTTTGTACAGTGAAAGACTGGGATTTAGATTTTAGTCAGTAATACTCATTTTCCGCCGTTTCAGTCGGACACAGAGAAAATAAAATACCAAAACTAGTCAGCAATCATAATAATTAAAAGCATATCAATAAAATATTTTTCATACCAAATTGACATGCGAACTTATTAAATTTGTAACAAAACTATGGTATTTTTAAACCAGTATGGTAATTTTCAGTATCAAACTGCCATTCTTTTGTATTAATTTGTAATTTTTCAAGTTTTGATTTTACTTTTTTTTCTGTTTAAAAGTGAATATTAAAACCCCTTTAAATTATTTTATTAATTAAAATTAATTTTTAAATTTTTTTTTATTTAAAAATAATATACTTAATTCTATAAATACACAAAAAATACGAAGGCAGTCATACTGTTTGATATGAAAACATATCAAATTGAATTCATGTCAATATGAATCGAGGAATCGTTGCTTAATTTCCAATCTATTGGCATTCAAACCTAGAAATTTTTAATTTCTTAAAGCGATTGAAAAACTGGAAAGAAAAAACGGTTTTTTGGCGAAAATTTGAATATCGTATTTTTGACAAGATCTGAATCCCATTTTTTCGCCATAAAAAATCAGTTTTTTTGCTGCTATAAAGAAAATAAGCGTCAGATCGAGGAATGTCATACCTCGTTGGATTTGTAGTTTAATTTCCAATCTATTGGCACTCAAACCTAGAAATTTTTTAATTTTTGCCATTTTTCGAAAAAAAGACGATGCACCCCCTTACAAAAAATGCGAAAATGGGTCAAAAATTAAATTTTCCTTAAAATGATTGGGATCGTTAGCATATTTAGCAAGCTGTTCAAAACAGTCGTTCTTTTAGCTGTACGCCCTTATTTGGCCAAACTGCGATTGAAAAACTGGAAAGAAAAATCGGTTTTGTGGCGAAAATTTGAATATCGTATTTTTGACAAGATCTGAATCCCATTTTTTCGCCATACAAAATTAGTTTTTTGGCTGCTATAAAGAAAATAAGCGTCAGATCGAGGAATGTCATACCTCGTTGGATTCGTAGTTTAATTTCCAATCTATTGGCATTCAAACCTAGAAATTTTTAATTTTTGCCATTTTTCGAAAAAAAGACGATGCACCCCCTTACAAAAAATGCGAAAATGGGTCAAAAATTAAATTTTCCTTAAAATGATTGGGATCGTTAGCATATTTAGCAAGCTGTTCAAAACAGTCCTTCTTTTAGCTGTACGCCTTTATTTGGCCAAACTGCGATTGAAAAACTGGAAAGAAAAATCGGTTTTTTGGCGAAAATTTGAATATCGTATTTTTGACAAGATCTGAATCCCATTTTTTCGCCATACAAAATTAGTTTTTTGGCTGCTATAAAGAAAATAAGCGTCAGATCGAGGAATGTCATACCTCGTTGGATTCGTAGTTCAATTTCCAAACTATTGGCACTCAAACCTAGAAATTTTTTAATTTTTGCCATTTTTCGAAAAAAAGACGATGCACCCCCTTACAAAAAATGCGAAAATGGGCCAAAAATTAAATTTTTCTTAAAATGATTGGGATCGTTAGCATATTTAGCAAGCTGTTCAAAACAGTCGGTCTTTTAGCTGTACGCCTTGATTTGGCCAAACTGCGATTGAAAAACTGGAAAGAAAAATCGGTTTTTTGGCGAAAATTTGAATATCGTATTTTTGAAAAGATCTGAATCCCATTTTTTCGCCATACAAAATTAGTTTTTTGGCTGCTATAAAGAAAATAAGCGTCAGATCGAGGAATGTCATACCTCGTTGGATTCGTAGTTCAATTTCCAAACTATTGGCACTCAAACCTAGAAATTTTTTAATTTTTGCCATTTTTCGAAAAAAAGACGATGCACCTTACAAAAAATGCGAAAATGGGTCAAAAATTAAATTTTTCTTAAAATGATTGGGATCGTTATCATATTTAGCAAGCTGTTCAAAACAGTCGGTCTTTTAGCTGTATGCCTTGATTTGGCCAAACTGCGATTGAAAAATTGGAAAGAAAAATCGGTTTTTTGGCGAAAATTTGAATATCGTATTTTTGACAAGATCTGAATCCCATTTTTTCGCCATAAAACATCAGTTTTTTGGCTGCTATAAAGAAAGTAAGCGTCAGATCGAGGAATGTCATACCCCGTTGGATTCGTAGTTTAATTTCCATTCTATTGGCACTAAAACCTAGAAATTTTTTAATTTTTGCCATTTTTCGAAAAAAAGACGATGCACCCCCTTACAAAAAATGCGAAAATGGGCCAAAAATTAAATTTTTCTTAAAATGATTGGGATCGTTAGCATATTTAGCAAGCTGTTCAAAACAGTCGGTCTTTTAGCTGTACGCCTTGATTTGGCCAAACTGCGATTGAAAAACTGGAAAGAAAAATCGGTTTTTTGGCGAAAATTTGAATATCGTATTTTTGAAAAGATCTGAATCCCATTTTTTCGCCATACAAAATTAGTTTTTTGGCTGCTATAAAGAAAATAAGCGTCAGATCGAGGAATGTCATACCTCGTTGGATTCGTAGTTCAATTTCCAAACTATAGGCACTCAAGCCTAGAAATTTTTTAATTTTTGCCATTTTTCGAAAAAAAGACGATGCACCCCCTTACAAAAAATGCGAAAATGGGCCAAAAATTAAATTTTTCTTAAAATGATTGGGATCGTTAGCATATTTAGCAAGCTGTTCAAAACAGTCGGTCTTTTAGCTGTACGCCTTGATTTGGCCAAACTGCGATTGAAAAACTGTAAAGAAAAATCGGTTTTTTGGCGAAAATTTGAATATCGTATTTCTGACAAGATCTGAATCCCATTTTTTCGCCATAAAAAATCAGTTTTTTGGCTGCTATAAAGAAAATAAGCGTCAGATCGAGAAATGTCATACCTCGTTGGATTCGTAGTTTAATTTCCAATCTATTGGCATTCTAACCTAAAAAATTTACATTTTTGCCAATTTTCGCAAAAAAAGACGATGCACCCCCTTACAAAAAATGCGAAAATGGGTCAAAAATTAAATTTTCCTTAAAATGATTGGGATCGTTAGCATATTTAGCATACTGTTCAAAACAGTCGGTCTTTTAGCTGTACGCCTTGATTTGGCCAAACTGCGATTGAAAAACTGGAAAGAAAAATCGGTTTTTTGGCGAAAATTTGAATATCGTATTTTTGACAAGATCTGAATCCCATTTTTTCGCCATAAAAAATCAGTTTTTTGGCTGCTATAAAGAAAATAAGCGTCAGATCGAGAAATGTCATACCTCGTTGGATTCGTAGTTTAATTTCCAATCTATTGGCATTCTAACCTAAAAAATTTACATTTTTGCCAATTTTCGCAAAAAAAGACGATGCACCCCCTTACAAAAAATGCGAAAATGGGTCAAAAATTAAATTTTCCTTAAAATGACTGGGATCGTTAGCATATTTAGCAAGCTGTTCAAAACAGTCGGTCTTTTAGCTGTACGCCTTGATTTGGCTGTGCTACGGCTTAATAACCGCCAAAACAAATGGTGTTCTTGCCTAAAATCGAAATATTTTTTTTCGCCCAAAAAATCCGTGGCTACCTGTCGTATAAGTTATATTTTTAAAGGAGTTCTTAAATATAGCCGGTTGACAGGTTTTTAAAAACAAATATGTATTGTTAACTTAAAAAATGTTTTTCCACATAATTAAAATCAATATGATACGGGTTCAGACCAACATTTGCAATTGATATGATTTTATTTCAAATTGATTTGAATGAGTATCAATTTGATATGAAAAAAGTTATATGTAAAAATTGAGAAGACAATATCAAACGGGTATTGTTCCTTTTTGTCTCTGTGTAGAAACGATTATGATGAACAACGAGGCTAGAATTTGTTTCCACTCAGAATTATGTAAATAAATTCTTTATTTAACATTTTCGATTTCGGGCTTTCGATAACTCTCCGAAAGCAGGTACAATTGCTTCATCATTTTGTCACCCTCAGTAGTGTTCATTGCGTTAACGGTGGCCAATCCGGACTCATAGAGTGCAGCCGACACTCCGGGCATATTCTTGTTCACATAGTGGGCAGAGTTCGTCTCATGAAGGAATAGTTCCGAAGAAAGAGAGTGGGCCTTACTGAACTCCTGCAAATCAACGCTCCAGGGGAAGTAGGCACCGGAGAAGAGACGCAAGTGTAGCAGTTTGTGGCAGGTATCGAGATTGAAATTCTCCGTGCCCATGGTTTTGCCCACGATCTTCTGTAGGGCTTCGGCTAAAACGGCCTTGCTTTCACCATTTACAATCATGACTGTGCCGTCGGCCCAAATCCAGCCTATCTGGGGGTCCTCGAAGCGAACTTCTATCACTCCTACGTCGCTTCTGTAGACGGCGTTGTCGAGGTTCCTCACAGCGATTTCAAGATCCACTTGTCTGTGCATCTGCAGGGTACAAAACACTCTGCAGATCTTCATTTCAATGAGCAAGCGCAAGGGCTCGCTTTGGCTTCTTGGAATCCCTGACTTCTGGAGGATCTGCTCCTGACGAACTGGCAAGGGTGCAAGCACCAACGTTCTATATAACTCCTTCGCCGACTCGGAGCCATATAGCTGGCTCCACTGGGCAAGAAGTCGTTCGGCTTCGGGATCCTTGTACTTCCACACATAATAATCCATGCTCTCTTCTACGTCTCCATTGCGAAGTAGGTAGCTAACGTGCCAAGGTTTTTTCGCGGCACCCACTACGATTCCAGACTTTCCCGACCTTCGGGGCACTATGTTCTCCTTGGGTACCTCCCCTTCGAATTCGACGGGCTTGGCACTCTCCTTAATAACTAGAAGTAGCAGTTGGTCGGAAATGGTAGTACTGCATTGCTGCAGCCACTCCTGAGTTGCGGCCTCGTCTTGGGGCCTGGGCGGGATTGATTTCAATCGTACTGGCGTAAAATCGTATAACTGGATTTCGCGAACTGGTTCTTCGTAGTCTTTGGATTTGTCGTCTACAGTTTCCGCGATTATTTCATCGTGCGACTCCACAGCATTCATTTTAGGTCGTGCCTTAGAAACAATACATGATTTTGGAGGTGGCATGAGCTCCGCGTCGGATTTCATGTGGATGGAGACAGGGTTGCTCTGGATGCCAGAATTCAATACCAATCCTTCAAGACAAAAATTGTCGGGCATTTCTTCTGAAATCGGGGCACTAAAACGGGTTTTAAAAATTGAATTGTTTACCTAGTTTACTAAAGATGGCTTACCAGGACGAAAGAAGTTCCGAGGAGGGGTCTGTTTTTAAGGGCTCATTTATTTCTGGAGCTTCTACAGGAAGTAGGGTCCTGAGTATCGGAAATAAATTTAAGGAAACGCATGAGTAAGTTCAGAAAACATTCTGGCTGTTCAGCGTTAAATTAAATTCTATGTGCGTCCCTACCTGTTAATAGGCTCGACTGGCTCAGATAGACGTATGCGCTTGGTTGGGATTACGTAGCCGCTTGCCAATTCACCTTTATCTTCACCGTCCTTCGATTTAGCATGTCCTTCGCGATTCGAATCGGATTTGGTTACCAATAGACCCGGCATTTTGTAAGAAAAAAGTTCAGTGCACGACGATATCTACAACCTCAAATCAAACAATTAAATAAATCTTACTGAACTGTCAGGAGTCAAATTTCCCAAAAAATCTACAGGGTTGCTGCGTTAGCAATTGTCGTTCGATAAGACCTATCGTAAAAGGTTTTCAATTAAACCTATTCCATTTACTTTATCTTATTTAATATTTGCAATAATATATAATTCTCCCTTGTTTTTCATTATAAGTAAGTGCCTAAATCAAATATTAGCATTAAATCAAATATTGCTTAGTGGTGATACTAAAATATTTCTGAGTTGCAATGGCTTTTTAAGGTAACAGGGTGACAACTACGGGTTTCAGCAGATATGTTTTATAGAACGATAATTGCTAACGCAGAAACCCGATATATTTGTTGAAAAAGTTGACGTCTGACAATTCAGTTCGACATTTAATATTGATAAAACTGATTTTAATAATTTTCAATCGCACTATGCTACGTCGCTCGAATGTCGAATTTTGTACGCCGTCGTATCACGATAGGTCTGGCTCAGATTCATTGGACAAGGAGTTTATGAAAATTATATATATTTCCTTATTATAAACAATAGAAAATTGTATATCCATATGGAAGATAAGACATCACGGTGTTTTAGAAATTATATTCTATATTATATGTAGCTCTCAAAACGCTCTCTTTATCCCAGAGTTTCTCACATTTCAAACTCTTCTGTAACCCACTCAGGTCCGGAATTCGGCGGAGGAGGCGGTTTCGGAGGAGGACCTGGCTTTGGCCAGGCTCCCGAGTACGGTGGCTTCTACCAGCAGCCACAACAGCAGCAGCACCAGAAGAAGAAGAACAACAAGAACCAGGCGCATGGCAATGCAAATGCCCAGGGAGGACCCGGGTTCAACCAGCAGGCCTCCACCCAGAACCACGCCAGCAACGGCAACACGGGCAGCAGCTCCATCGGCTCCAACTTGGCTCAGGATGGCAGCAGTGGCCAGGTGACCTCCGCGAACACCAACACCCACCAGGGTCAGACGGCCAACGGGGGCTACGAGAGTGACCAGAACTCGCAGAGTCAGGCGCTGAACTTCAGGCCGGGCGAGCAGCAGGCCTCCAGTGCGAATGCCAACACCCAGCACACCCAGCAGGGCAACCAGGACACCTATTCCTCGAACAGTGGCTCCACCGCGACGAACAACAATAAGTACGGCTCCTCCACCAACACGGCCAACACGAACTCAAAGGTGGTGAAGGATGGCAACAGCCAGGACGCGACCAGTGATGCCAATAGCCAGAGCATCTACCAGGGCAACAATGGTCAGGGAGACGCCTCCGCCTCGACGAATGCCCAGACGAGCAGCCAGCAGGGTCCCAATGGATACGTGTCCAACTCGGCCTCCAGCAGCGCCACCGCCACCGCCCAGAATGGCCAGTCGGCCAATGCGAATGCCAATGCGAATGCCGGTGGTGCCGGAGGAGCGGGAGCAGGAGCGGGAGCCTTTGGGGGCGGCGGTGGTGCCAACTCTGGTGCCAATGCCGGTGGATTCGGCGGTGGTGCAGGAGCAAATGCGGGCGCCAATGGCGGTGGATTCGGGGGTGGCGGTGGTGCCAATTCGGGTGCCAATGCCGGTGGCTTCGGCGGCGGTGGTGCCAACAGCAACGCTTTCGGCGGCTTTGGCGGCTTCGGATTCTACGGACGTTAGTTTTAGACAATAACTCTCCTTTAAAACAACACACCCCCTTTTTTTTGTCACCCACGAAAAGCACGAAAATAAAAATGCATTTTCTTAATTTAAACCACATTTTTTAGCACCACGTTATTGGGTTTTTTTTCACAGCACCAGTTACACTTCCTGCATTTTTTTTATAATTAATTTTAATATTTTTAATAATTTAATACAAAAAAAGAAGACTTTCATCTTTTTAAAAATACTTTCTTATGCATGAAAAGTATTAGCTTGATTTGAATATTAAGATCATGAATTTTAATTTAAAATATAGCGTATTAATATCTTAGAAAGATCAAACTCGCGCTTTAAATTATAAACAAATTGCGCATGGGAATTTTAATAAGATCAAAATTACATTTTCAATATTTTTTTATAATTTCAGTTAACATAACATAAAATAAAATATATATTTTAATAACAGAATGATTTATTTTAAACTATAAATTAAATTTATAGAAAATCAAATGCTTCTTTTTATGCGTAAAAAGATTTAAGGAAGTTGAAGTTTGAAATATTTTATGTATTATGTATTATGGTTCTCATTCAACTCACATTTTATCTAGGTTCAAAATGAAAGAGAAAGCACATTGTTTGGAGATATGGAGTATTGCACAAAAGTCACTTTTGATCAATATTTGATATTCCTATTAAAATCCATATATTTAAAACCCCTAGTTCGCCAACGTGCCCAGCAACAGATTCGCTTGCAGCGCTGGCAGCCACGCCCCCAAAATGGCACCTCATCCAGGAGCTCCTCCTCATCGTCCTCCTCCTCGATAAACGATAACTTTGAGTACGTGTACTTTAACCACTCGTCATCCCGTCTCGAAGATATGCGGCCTGAGAACTCCGAGATGGATAATTCAGAACAGGATTTTGGTGGGGCAAGGCTACCGCTTAACACCTCAGTGGATACCTTTGGACCCTACGATAGTACCCAGCGTCAGGGGCGGACCTTCAACTTGATCTTCGACTGGATCAGTGGACTCTTCAACTCGTGCGTCTCACCCTGCACCTTGGAGGCCTATCAGAAGCAGACCTGCTGCGAAACCTATGTGGTGGATCCCTCTTATCCACCACCACCACCTCCTCCTCCTCCACCGCCTCCTCCACAGACTTGCTGTGCCCCTGTGAGACCCATATACCCCCCGCCACCCAGGCCACTGCCCCCTCCTCCACCACTGCCCCCTCCACCACCACCGCCCATGCCCTACCCCTACCCACCCATTTATCCCAATAAGCAGACGCCCGTGGTGGTGGTGGCCACGCCCATCAACTGCTGCACCGTGTGCACATTCACCTACTACGGACCTCCGCCCTGTGGGCGGCTCTACAACAACAGCAGCAGGAGCGATGGAAGGAGGGTCATCTATGTGCCACCTCCCTACTACGGCCGCTAAAAACATAAACTTACCCATAACTATAAGTATTTTTTTCCACAATTAAACAAAAAATAAAACTAAATATAAAGCTTTAACAGATTTGTTTTCTATAAAAAAATTGGTGTCGCCGCACAAATCACTCGGGTTTTAAAATCACTTGCATAAGTGTCTAAAAGTAGGCAGTGAATAAATGAAAGTAGTCTTTCTGAATGAATTCATAAAACGTTATATTGTTGCATACTTTTAGACGCCTAAATGACTGTGATTATGATTAAGTCATTATATTTATTAAAAAAAACATAGTTCTTCTTTGGGAAAAAGTAAAATAAACCTTTAAAGCGGTATTCAAAAATGATACAGATGCCGACAGTCTTTAAATAAAAAATGTTCCTAAAATATAAATAGAATCTAAGATGTATTTATGAAACCCCAAAAGTATGCCGTGGAACTAACCAGAACTAATTGTAAACTTTTAATATTGAGATTCACGGAAGTAACTTAATAAAATATATAATATTGAGATTAATGACTTCGAACTTTCTCTTCTTTGAGTGTAATTACCATTTTTAATTTCGTGGAAGCCATGAGTTCTTAAAATAGAAAACAGTCGAGTGCATCTTTAAAGTTTAAAACGGAAGGCTTTTGAGTGTGGCAATATTTTTACCGTATGTCTGTCCCCTGAGGTTTTGTCCCTTTGTTTTGTTTGTTCTTCGCCTGGCTAATTCGGAAAACGCTTGCATAATCTCCGTTGGGAGGGGGGTTTTGTTGCTTGGGGGAATCCTGTCAAAAATGCGGCAAATAAGACACACGACAGGGCCAAAGGGAGGGGGGCGGCTATATAGGTAGCTGCACTGTAAAAGAAGTAAAGTTTATATACCCTTACTAAGATATAGGTACCCTTAAAGGTTGCTGCATTCAAATATCTCAAATTAATTCGTAATCTACATTTTATAGGATCATATTCTTAATAACATTGAGAACTCAAATATAGAAAATGATAAAAAACAATTGGAAAACACTTTAAAATATGTATTATAATTGTATTTTGCTTGGGGGTATTAATTTTATAAACATTTATTGATATTCAATTAATATTTTTTGGTTTGGTATTTTAAACGTTAAAAAATCTACTTTTAAGGATTCTTTCCTGATTCAGTATATTTGTTTTTTAAAGCCACTGTGAAATATCTTCGATTTTCCTAAGGACATTCTACATTCGTGGTTATAGCTCCAAAATGGCAGGTTAACGTAACCCATCTTTCTGCCGCTTTTGTTGTGTGGCTGCCTTTCTTTGGGCCTCCTGTGCCGTTGACTTTTGCGCCTAAGCAAAATTTGTGCCATGTGTTTTGTGGCTGCTTTGTTTGTTGGCTCAAATTTGCTGGCAGGCTGCCACACGAGGACTCTTTGGGACTGCGATTTGGACTGGGATCGGTGCACCGAAACTGAAACTGAGACTGAAACCGAGGACGGGAATGGGGACGGGAATGGTGATGGGGATGAGGCACAGACAGGACATGTCACGTCAGCGGCACAAAGCCCGAGCACAAAGGCCTGATAACTGCAGTCGCCTGATAAGCAGCGCCCCAAACAAGGACCTTCCGCCCACTCGACGACACTCGAAAAAATAAGTGTACATTTCTTACTCACTATTTATTATACAAAGATTTTTATTATATTTGACCTTTTGATTTGCTCAGAGAAATAAAATTGTTTAGTTATGATGATCATTTTGATGAAATGTGGAGTCAGTTCTCTCTAGAAACGAGGCGTATCACTATGGTAAGCTTGCTCTCTTTTTCTATTTTGATTATAATAATGCTGTCTTGCTCTTATTCAGAGTAATTCTAGTAATATCCCGGTTAAAGCAATGAAATCCCAGAAATAATATTCCTTAATATTAACTTTACATTATTCAATAGGAAAGATGATACCATGGGAGTATCAAAATTATCCTTTTTTCTGTGTGGTAAGAATTATTGAACAAACTTTTACCGGATATGGAGTAAGATAGACTTAGTATTTAGGCACGCTCTCAGAGAAGGTTGTCTAAATTTTTTTTGTTAAACGTTCTTAGGTATATGACACAAATATTTAAAAGCAAAAAAAAGATCTTATAGCAATTTTATTATTTTTTCAGATCATAAAGAGTTCTCTATGAGTTCTTCTCCAGTAGCGCTTAAATTTCAATTCAAGATCCTTCTGCTTAAGTAAGTCGTACTTTTTATTAAGGGACCTTACTCGCTTTGCAGACTGATACTCCCCTTCCAACCCCCATTTCTCCCAGTGTGGCCTTTTTTCCTGGAGACCCACTGGAGACCCTTTGCCACCCGGAAGCACAAGTCGCCCCTTTTGTCATTTCGCTCATAACGTTAATTTATATTCAGTTCAGTCTAAAAAAAAAATAAGGAATAGCCAGTGGTAGTGGTAGGTACAGTGAAGCCCGTGTGACAGCCATCGAGAGGAGGAGTGTGGAAAGTGAATAAGTTAAGTTAACTTTAGGTTTAAGTATAGGTTTAGATCAGGGAGTCCTAGTTGTAGAACTGCTGGCGACGACGCAGCGCGGGGGAGGCGGCCACGAAGCGGCGTCCAGAGCTGCCCACGGAGTGTCCCGCCGAGGAGGAGCCCTCGTTGGCGGAGTACAGGAGCAGGGGGATCTCCTCCACGCTGGTCTGCTGCTGCTGGGCGGAGTTGCGGACGCCGGAGCGGAGCAGCTCGTCGGCGGACAGGCGGCGCAGGGCGGGGGCGGCTGGGGCGGCGGCAGCGGGAGCGGCGACTGGGGCGGCGGACACACCATCCAGCAGCTGATCCTCGTCGTTTTCCGGCTGCTCCAGCACCAGATCCTCGGGCTGGGCCACCGCAATGCTGTTGCCCACAGGAGTCTCGCTCTCATTGTCGGCGGCAGAGATGGAGCTGCTCTGGAGCAGGGCCTCGATGTTCTCCAGGTTGGAGAGTCCGTTGATCTGGAGCTGGTCATGGAGCTCGGCGGGAATGGCGATGGCCTGGACATCCTTGTGGCCCGAGATGCCGTTGGGGGTGGGGATGAACTGGACGTTCTCGGGGATCTGGTCGGTGGGATAGACGGGCACCAGCTCGGCCTCGTTCTCGTTGCTCGACTTCAGCAGGATCAGGGAGATGGGCACGATCTTCTTGAACTTCAGCAGTACCAGCTTCTTGATGGCCACAGCTCCGGGGAAGACGCGTCCTTGGGGACCACTGTGGGGCTTCGCTATGAGGGCCCGCTGCTCAAAGTTCTGACGGCGATGGCCACTCACGTGACGGGCTAAGGGATAAAAGGGGAACATTTTTTGGGATTAGGAATTGATTTATTATCAAGTGATCTGGTATACCTAGTCTTCAAAACCCGTACATTTTGTAACTATACATATAATAATACATTTATTTTATTTTACTTTATAGAATATATATCGATTATATATCCATCTGTTAAAAATGAGTTTATTTAGATAAAAGTTATATAACATAAAACAATTTGGGAAAACATTTAAAAATATTATTTGTCTTGGAGAAGATTTGGTAAAAAACTGTCATTTTGTAGTTTCCAAAATATTAAAGAAAGATATGATTTGCTGAAGAGCAACCACACCATTTATTAATTATTTACCGCTAGATAATTATAGCCCCTGAGCAAATATTTGATAATGATGGGATTAAGAAGAAAGATCCAATCATCAAAGTATCACAAACTCACCTTCGCACACGGCCAAGATTGCCAGGCCGATGGCCAAAAGGGCTACCATCTTAATTGCCATACTGGTGGGATCTGGAAACTGTTAAGTGGACTTGGGATTGGAAGACTTGGATGTGGACTTGGACTTGGGTCTGTCGCTGGACGAGGGCTTCTATTAAATGGTCTAGCAAGTGCCCGGCAAAGACATTTTATACAGGGGAGGAACGTTCACCTGGCCGGAGAAACAGAAAGAAAGAAGGCGAAACAGCGGAGACACATAAAAATCACCCGAAAAACAAAAGAAATTAGGTAGCCGGGCAGCAGAACAAAGTAAAATGTGGCGAAATTGGAGGGGATTTGGATTTGGACGATTGGCAAATTATTAAACTATGCAAATGTCCGTCTACTGATTTATGCACAGAAACCAGAAACAGTAAAGCAAAGACCATTCCATCCCAGAGATCCCAGAACGTTGACTTTTGGTAGGTTCATCTCCATTTCCATTTCCAGTTGCAGTTGCCTCTTACCAAAATCGAGAAATTTGCATTTTGGGTCGTCTCAAAAACTACGGAAAAATACAAAAAATACAAAAAACATGGCGAAGAGTGGAGAATGAACCGTCTGGCCAATTCTTGAGCCAATTTTGAGGTCAAAAGTGAGATTTTCAATAAGTCAGGCCGCCTCCATTTGTCACTGTCCGAAGTGGGCGAGGTCCCACTGTTCTTCCCCCCAGATGTCAGAGTTCGGGCTTATTTGGGCCACATGCATATATGTTGTATATGGCTTGGGCCAGCATGTGTTCCCCATTCGGATCGGACAACGGGCATTTAAATCAATCAAATGGATCGAGTCCATAGTGCGAAATTTATTCTTTTCTCCGCCATTCTCCCCATTGAAAGTCGGTCCAACTTAGTGCCAGAGATTAAATCGTTAACCCATCGAACTATGAGTTGCGAGCCAGGCGAAATAATGGCAAGACGGATTATGATTTTATGGGATTTATGGCCGTTTGCTAACTATTTTAGTTCCCCCCCATTGTTTGCCAATTTAAATCAATAATCCTTTGTTTGTGGGGCTTTGTTTAAAGCCAATTGAAATACAAGAGATTATTAGGCCAAAGAGCCTTCAAATAGCGTTAAGCAGCGCCTAAAACTTCGCCGTAAAACATGTTCCAGTCAAATGTTTTTAAATTACATTAAAGACTTTATTAAGTAATTCATTATCACAAGAGATAATTTAAAATTATAACATCGATTTAAAAAAAAATATAATCAGCTTTGAGATACTAATGATTTAATGAATTGCAGATCGATATATATATATATCTATTGGGGCGATTTGCAGGAAAAGTCCCACCGCTTGGTCACCTTATCAAGGGCTATGGGAAATTTTGAAATCTGTGACAGCAAAGTGGGTGATTGGGTCCATTGCACTAAAAGGAAAATTAAATCTACGCTTACATAATTACTTACGCTTACTTTACATATACACTGGTCGGCAGAAGTATTTTGACAAAACAAAAGTTCAATATACTCATAATTTGAAGAAGTAAACTTTGGCATCAATGGAAAGGTAATTTAAACGCCGTTTGAATGATACAATACATTTCTCAACCCATTCAGTATTTTTTGAAAAGGACGAATTTCAATCCTTCCTATGGCAGCTCCGATGTTTAAATTAAGAAAAAACTAAATACCAAAATCGTAAAATAATGCTATACCCCAGAGAAGGGAGGCATAATTTTTTTTTCACTTTTATTATTATTAATTCAGGTCAGATGTCAACAGCTTCGAACCAAAACAATTAATGCCAAGTGTCGAGCGGAATTTTCAGACGTAACATTTTTTAAAAACTCTCGTCTTGCTGCGGTAGCATTTGTCGTTCGATAAAACCTTTCTGCTGAAAACCAGAGTTGTCACCGTATTTCCTTAAAAAGCCATGGTAACTCTGTAACATTTTAGTATCGCCAGTAAGCAATATTTATTTTAAAAACAATTTAGAAAGAGTATTTATATTTTATTTTACTTTATTAATAACTTTAGGCATTCACTTAAATTAAAATATTGCGTGGTCTTACTTCCGAATAATTTTAATTTTAAAAAACATGACAGCGGTTTGAAAACGCTGAGACGTGTTGAATTTTTAACAATTTAACAATTCAACAGTTCAGGGAATTCCCAGGTTTGTTTTCCTTGTCATATATCCAAATCCCATTCTACCGGTTATAAGCAGCCCAAAACGTTATTTTTGCTGTACGCCTTGGATTGCATAAACTGGGATAATAATAGAATTTTTGGCTTAAATCTGAATCCCTTTTTCCCTGTCTGAAAAAAATATACAAATGAGCTTTATTGCACTTGAGAAGCTAGCTTCGCCAGCCGAAGTTTATATACCCTTGCAGTTCGTTCCTGTGGAAGCTTTCCCATTTTAAAAAAAACTACACTTAAACAAGAGTGAACGCTTTAGTCGAGAGCCTCGACTGATAGTCGGTACCCCTTAGAGATGGAGATATACACGCAGCAAAGTGATTGTTCCCAAGATTAAACTCACCGCAACAGTGACACATAATCGATTTCAATAAAACGTCTCCTTCACAGCGTTGCAAACTTCTGACTGAAATCATTATACCCTCTGCAAGGGTATAAAAATAGCTTAGCCTGGAATTCAACCCGTTACTCGTAGAGTAAAAGAGTATACTAGATTCGATGAAAACTTTGTAACGTAAAAAAAGACGTTTCCTACTCCATGATGTATATATATTCTTGATCAGGATCACTAGCCGAGTCGATTTAGCCATGTCCGCTGATTCTTATGGCCATCTATCCGTCTGTCTGTATGAACGCTGCGATCTCGGAAACTATAAAAGCTAGAGTATTGCAAATTCTTGGGCTTCCTGCGCCGCGCAAATTTGTTTCAGCGGGGTGCCACGCCTTCTTTAACGCCCACAAGCGACTATAACATTAAATCCCGTCTAGCGCCCATGAGAGTTTGTTTTTATTATCAATACCTATCTACACTCGAAAAATTATGGAAATCGGACTAGTCAATAAAAAGTTATAGACAAATAATAACCAATATGTTGCAATTCAATCGAGGTTGCACACCACAAGCAGCAATTAAGCTATTTTCACTAATACGCCACCAAGCCGCTAGGGGCGCTATAGGCTAGTTGGAGCTGTAGGCCAAGAGGCGCTATAGAAGAAGAAGATAGGTGGCGCTATAGGCTAGGTGTGTTAGTGGAAGAAGCCGAGTTTCTATAAGCATATCTCCATTGTTAAGAAAATCGTACATTTATGTGACGCACGTTACAAATATTTGTGGGCAGCAAAACTTTCCCAAAGAAGAAGTTATTATTATGGAGCGGTTTAATCGAAATCGCATCGTTACCAATACCGATCCCCTGGCCGGAATATTAATTAGATTCCTTGAACAACGTATGGAATCGGAAACCCATCGATTTTCTCAGCCCGATCAAATTCCAAATTCGGGCCACTGACCACGGGTGGTATGATTAATTTTCGTTCTGTGTTTTTTCGTGTCCCATTTTTTGCCAGACTCGCCGATGGTTTATCTAATTTATGTTATTGCCGCGGCAATTATTTAAATTTTCCACAGCTACCGTGGTCAGCTCTTTGTAATGGCAAGGGCGGTCTGGGAAAAAGGAAACATATTTGCGGCCCATTAAGGGCGACATAAACAAATGTTTTTATAACCAAATTATGCGGAGAAGAACGCAGTGTATTCATTAGCTTTGAGGCCTGGGCGAGCAAATGAGATCCGGGCCAAGTTATTTGATGCTAATGGAAATGCATAAAAAAATCATAAATACTCATTAGCAAATTTTTCATTTTTTTTGGTTTTTTTTCGAGTATATGACTAAGAAGAAAGTTGCCCCCAAGTCGGGGTCATCTCATTTTACCCAATCATTTGTGGGGTCATCATATTTGGAAAGTTTCTATAGTAGGGAAAGTTCTATTTTTGGACCATGGCTATGAAAGATTCCCGGAATTGGCACAATGATCCACATTTGCTGAAAAGAAATCGCTGAGCGGAAATTACTAGTTAATTCAGGGGACTTACTTGACTTCGATCAATCAATATCTTTTAGAAACCATCAAAAATAATTTATGTGTATGTTAGAAATGGAAATATTTAGGGAATGGGATTCACCAATCAATTTAATCCTTTTATCTAAATTGTAATATATCCTTTTGTGTTATTTGAGCAGCATTTAAATGGACTCTATGTGCATATCCAGATAACTCTCAAGATCTGAAGTGAAATATGCCGGGGATCACTAAAAAAATAAAAGTCTGAATAACTCTTGTATTAAAAAAGTCATCAAATCATTTTTTTTTTGGTGACCAAAAATATATAATTATTTTCATAAAAGATATTTAGACTTTATTTTTTTCAATAATCCCCGGCATATTTCACTTTATATCTGGAAAGTTTTCCTGGAGATAGAAGAGAAGTACTACTGTTTGACTTGTGGGCTGAAATTTTCTGCAGCAATAATAGTAATAGGAGTAATAGTTATTTTTAGACTTTTTATTTAAATGTCTTTGAATAAAAGTTCCGGGACGACTTGATGGGCTGATTTTTTTTTAAATACAGACAATGAACCTACTGATCAGGGCTGAGAAAGAAATAATAAGTTCTTAAGCATGATTTATATTTTAAAAATTATAAAATGTTTTATAAAAAGATTATTAAAAAAAAAAAAATGTTGACATCAAAAAATCATTTAAATTTGTGCGACTTTTTGTTAGGCTATGTAAATCTGGAAGACTACCCACCTAGTTTATAAGAGATTAACAAAAACATTCCAGCCTATAGGAGTGGCCGTTTGACCCAGCATATTTATGGGTCTGGGCCCGAACTAGTTATGCAGAAGTAAAAATATTCCAGGCCCAGCGAGACCGTTTAGCTAGACGACCTGCGACCCGATCTCTTTTGGCCAGCGGTCAAGAAACCGCAAATTGATTTACAGCATGGCTATAGCCCCCAATTGCGAAGAAAGAGAGAGCTTTGGCTCTCCGGATCACTCGCTCTTTTTCGGCCAAGTCGGGCTTTTGGCCAAAACCGTTTGTAGACGGCACATAAAAAGCTCGGGTCGCGTCGCTCCCCCAACAGTTCGGCAAAAGAAACCTCTGTCTGTGGACCCCCAGAAATCGAGGGCTTGAGAACGATAGTTAGTAAAATACGATCCCAGTGCGTGCGTGATAGAAAATCCCGAGACCTGACCATGACCAAGTTCGTGGTGGTGGGCCTGTGCCTGCTGATGGCCTTCGGCCAGATGGCTTCCGTTTCCGGCGTGACCGAGGCTCCGGAGGTGGAGCAGTCGACGGAGTCGCCCATCGCCGACATGGCGCTGATTGGTAGGACCATGGACCCCTTGAAACCCCCTGAATTCCCCCAGAATCCCCATCAGAACCCCTAATTAATCTCTGCCTGTGTTTCTCTTTTTTTTCATGTGCCGTGTGTTTTGTTTGTTTGTGATTTAAATGCATTTTTTTGTCTGTGATTTGTGTGCGCTCGGCTGGTGGAGCAGAAGATTTGGCGCCAATGGCACCCAAAACGCCCACGGAGAAGCCGCCCCTTGTCCAGGATGCCCCAGTGGCTCCAGTGGCCGTGGTGGAGGTCCAGGAGAAGGCTGCCGCACAACCGCACACGGTGGCCGATTTCATAATCCACCCACTGATCGCCTTTAAGCCACGTCAGGCCAGCCTGGAGGAGATCCAGGGCAAGCAGGCACAGGGGGCACCAGGCTCCTCCTCGGGCACCCCCGCCGCCCCGGGCACCTGGCTCTTCGGCATGAATCCCGCCCAGCAGCTGGGCTCCTCATTCTCCTCGCTGGCCGGTTCCGTTTCCGGTTGGTTCAACGATCGCCTGCAGCTGCCCGGTCTGGTAGAGACCCCTGTGAGGGAGTCCACCAGCACCAGCAGCACCACCTCCACCACCACCCAGCGACCGGATATCGTGGTGCGAGTGCAGCAGCGTCCCCAGCGTAACGGCAACCGCAATGGCAACCGGAATGGTAACCTCAATGGAGGTAACCTGAACAACAGGCGTCGCCAGCAGCGCCCCAACCGGTTCAACAACCTATTGGACTCCTTCGAGGACGACTACTACGAGGATGACTACTACCAGGGCAACCGATTCGATGAGGAGTTCGACGACGACGAGGACGAGCAGAGCCTGGAGCAGTTCGAGGATGACGATTCCTTGGAGCTGCGTCCCCAGCAGAAGCCCAAGAGGAAGCAGACCCAGGTGCAGAGCCAGAGTCAGCGCAGGAAGTTCCAGCAGGAGGAGGAGCAGCAGGTGGTCAGCCAGAAGCGTCGTCAGCCCCTGAACACCCAGAACAAGAAGACCAAGGTGCAGAAGAAGCCAGTTAAGCCGGTAGTGGAGGAAGCCCAGGATGAGGAGGAGCAGGAGGACGAGGATGCCGAAAACGACGACGAGGAGGAGCAGGAGGACCAGGCCCAGGATGACGATAGCCAGGAGCAGGACTTTCAGCCCGAGCCCGCCGTCGGTTCCACCACGTCGACGAGGCGCAGCCAGAACCAGCCCAACTTCATCCAGCGCGGCCAGCAGAGCATCATCAGCCAGATCCGCCAGTTCACCAGGGGTCAGACGCCCGGAGAACTGGCCACCACGTTGAGGAGGACCCCCGTCTCCTCCTCCGGCTCCTCAAAGACCCGTCGTCCCCAGCAGACGACTCTGCTGGTGAACCGCAATGGTCAGACTGTTTACTTGGCCCCCGAGCTCCTCAACCTGAACTCTCCTTATCCCTACGCCTATGTCCAGGGACAGACCAAGAAGCAGCGCGTCCCTGTCAGCGGAGCCTTCCCCCAGCCCCCACTAACGGTGCCGGTGAGGCGTCAGGGTCGTCCCACCCAGTACATCACCATTCCCTGGAGCCAACTGGGTCTCTCCCCACCGGATCAGCAGTCGATGGTCTCCCTGGCCGAAGGCATCCAGGCCCAGCCCCTGATCCTGAACATCCCCCAGAGCGCCATTAGTCCAGTGAGGACGGGATCCTCCGGTGGCCAGAAGAAGAAGCAGCGACCCCACCTGACCGCCTCGGCTGTGCCGCTCTTGGCCGATGCCTCCCTGATGGACATCTTCCAACCGCCCCAGATCCCGCCCTCCAGGACCGGAGCTGCCTCCTCATCGTCATCCTCCTCGGGATCCGGAGCCTCCATCAAGCCCATCTCCGCCCAGCCCGTTCTGATTGCCGCTAAGCCCGTGAAGGCCGGCGGAGCCAACGGACTGCTCCCCACTCGCATCCGTCCGGGAACGATTGTGGAGAAGGCCCCCGCCATGGAGGAGAAGCCCATGGAGGCCACCGAGGTCAAGCAGGAGCAGGAGATGATGGCCACCGAGGCGGTTGCCCCCATGGTGGCGGCCAGCAGTCCCGAGCAACAGGAGTTCATCCTGGTCGGCGATGATGACGAGCCCGGTCTCTCCCGACATGTCCAGCCCGCTTACGGTGATGCCCGCTATGTGTCCTACGGCGATTTCCATCCCTACCTCGATCTGCTCACTCAGAACAGGCGATTCGCCCTGAGGAAGAGCGGTAGGTCCTTGGAAAACCCCGAGGAGCAGGCGCCAGTAATCCCTCAGGAGGAAGTTCAGAAGGAGGAGGTTAAGATGGAGGAAGTGGAAAAGAAGGAGGAAGTGCCAAAGGAGGAGGTTAAGAAGGAGGAGCCTCAGAAGGAAGAAGTTCAAAAGGAGGAGATTGAAAAGGAGGAGCCCAAAAAGGAGGAGATCAAGAAGGAGGAACCCCAGAAGGTGGAGATCAAGATGGAGGAACCCCAGAAGGAGGAGATCAAGGTGGAGGAGCCCCAAAAGGAGGAGATCAAGAAGGAGGAACCCCAGCCCCTGGAGCAGTCAAAACTCCCAGCATAATTTTGTAAAACAGAAAACCCTCCCCAAAAATCGAACCCAAACGAAATAATGAACATAACAAAAAAATATTGACAAACAAAACCAAAACCAAACGATTTTCAATCCCCGTGAAAACCACAAAGAAATAAATTTTTTTTACCTTTTTTTTGCGTGTGTTAATGCCTGACCAAAAAGTTGAAAAGCCGGCGAGAGAGAGAAAACTATTAGCATAACTAAAACTTTTTTTTTTATTGTTTCTTTCGACCAGTTGAAAGTTCAATTTGCGAGAGCATTGACCCACGAAAGACCAGAAACCTGATCTCGAGCCACAAAAACGATGTTTTATTAATGAGGCCCGTGCGCTTTGACCGATTTAGATATCCACCATCTTGTAACGCTTCTTTTTCGCTGGCCTTTCCATAATTAATATTCGCCCAGAGACAAAAGAAATTCGATGCTGGGGTTAAGCAAAAAGAACTGCCTGATTAATGCGATATCGATATGCAAATTGATTGACCGATTAACGGTATTTGGCGTAGGTACAGTTGCTTGAGCATTATAATCGGTCAAAGGCAACTCTGCGCATGGGTTTCATAGCAGCTAGCTTTTATTTTGCATTTTAGGAAGTTTCGAAAGTTCAACAGGGTCTTATGGAAATATTACAGATCTGTGAGCTTTGAGCTTAATGGAAGGATACTCAGTACACTTTTATAGAAAAGTATAGATATCATACAGCTAGAAAATGATCTTCAAGCTTTCTAGATAAAGATTCCTGAACTTTAAGCTTATATTGAGGATACAAATATAGAGGTTTTTGAAGTTCGAGTTGAGATCATAGAACTTTGAGCGTTTATAGCGGAACCAATTAATAATATGGCCAAAAATCGGACATTTTTTTGAGTTTCAATAGTTAATCCTCATATTTTCATTAATTATTTGCAACATATTAGATGTATAAATATTTTTTCTTCGATTTTGTGAGTTTTTTTAATTTAGTGACTTGAACAAGTATTTGAAGGTTTATTTAAAATTCCAATTGGAAATATACTCTTGATCAAAATTACCCAATTAAAACACATGCTTAGCAGTTTCAAAAGATTTTATGATAATATTTGCTTATAGTATAATTTGATATACTTATTTATTTTGTTACCCATTATTACGCATCTTTCTAATTAGTTAGTAAATATAAGATAACCGTTTTTGAAGCTTAAAGAATCGGAAATAGGACTTATAAGTTTCAGACATTATTAATTGGGACACATAACCAAAACTTATTAAGTTTTTAATATTAAATGAAAATATTAGTAAAATACAGAAATAAAAGCAGACTCCAAGGGATCACATTCAGATATTCAATGCCCGAAACAATGCTGTTGAAGGCCCTTTTATAAATCTCACCCAGGCGCACTCGACTCTTGGTTAAGGCAAATAAAACATACCCAGAAGTTATTATTCCAGCTTGATGACCCCGGGCAACGTTTAGCAAGTCAAGCGGATCGGGAACCAGCGATAACGATCCATTCCAGATCGATGAGATGAGATGAGATGGGAATGCGAAGCTGCCAACACACTTTGGGCCCTAGGGCCAAAAGGTGGAAATTTGCATAATCATCCCGAGAAGAGCGGACACTATTAGGCCAACATGCGAGCACTTCAGCACGGCCGGTTGACAACATTATTCCAGCACTATTTCGATCGTTAATTGTTTCCAGCGACAAAAGGCCGGGGTTAACGCACAGCCAAGTGTCCAAAAATGGTGACTAGAAAAAACTGGACAGAAAAGCCCGGAGAAAGAGATTCGAATGCCTATTCTCCAAATCAGGCGTGTGTGCAGAGTTATGGTCGTAAATTCATAAATATATCCCCCCCAGGCAAAGGTCAGCACCTGCCGAATCGGACTTGGCCATATAATTAAGGCCCACAAGAGGAACCCGGGAACGGGCAATGAACTTTCAACTCGATCGGGGCCCTGCCCATAAGTCGGACTTAAGACAATTTATTAGCCATCTGCCGGAGTTGGCCAAAAACCAAAAATCAAAAACTGGACAGCAGCTTTCTTTGTGCCGTTGCCTCGCCTGAATATGATTTTGTATTTTGTTTTTCGGCCTGACCCCGTTGAACTTCTCCCTCGGCACATTCTTATGGAAATTAAGTTGGCGTTTCTTTTCTTTTTTAGAAATTTTTCGCAGTTTCCGCGACTGTTGCCAAGCGGATTCTTATGCGACTTCTTGAATGTCTCTAATAAAATATGTTTGAATATGAAATTGACCCAAGTGCGTTTGGATTTCTTTTTTGGGCGGGGGGAAAAAGCGATTTTAAATTAGCGGATTTATGAAGCAAATTTGCACCGTTGGTGGAATTTCTCCAATCCATATATGGTAATTATAGCTGACCTAGTTTTGTCTAACAGTTCATCAGAGTTAAAAGTTCAACGTCATGAGAGAACGAAATTAATTTATGCGACCTTCTAAATTATTTAAATTTTTCAACTCCTAAAATAATACAGATCAGTTACAAACAGTTATCCAAAAGCTGAACTCATTGAGCTTTGATTAATATTCTTTCCTAAAAACTTTGCCATCCTTACGAAATCGTCTACCCTATAAGAGATTTTTTTTGCATTATGAATATTTATGACATTAGATAATGTAGGAATATGTTAAAAACAGAATGCCCAAATTCTTGGAGTGAATAAACTAAAAATACCTCTGGCATCTTTGATCTTCGTTGAAGATTTGCCGAAGAATTTTGACTAAAACAACATGAAAATAAGGAATGACACAAATCGAGAATTTATATTTATTTTCTGTTTATCCCAGTTTATAAATGCCCATAAAATATAAATGGAAATCAAAACGGTTATCTCTTTTAAACAATTAAAATTACAAAAAGGTTACTCGACTATAAATAAATAGATATATATATAAATTTAAATTTTTGTATGTCATGTTCGTTGAATTCTTTTTTAATATTTGTCGAACTTGAAATTTATATATTTGTTAAAATAATTAAAAGTTAGAAAACACATTTTTTGATTTTAAATTAATTTAGTGAATTATTTTTAAAGAATATGTTATTTATTGGAAAAATTAATGTGCCTGAGACTTAGATTTATAATTTTTTTTAGTAGTATATGCCTTACAAGTCACTTTGAAGTCTGAAATCTGTGAGCTTGAATCTTGAACCTTGTGAACCAAGCAGCAAAAATCTAGAAATGAGCGAAGTTCAGAACGGCACCACCGAGAAAGTGGTGATCTATGAGTTCGCCTGGCCACTTTTGGTGGCCGTTTTCGAGGTGAACCTGTACAGGATCCTTTTGGAGCTGCTGGCCCACATCCTGCTGGTCGTGATCACAGTGGTGGTGGTCAGGAAGACCTGGGGAATGGATGACCTGCGCAGCGGCCAGCACGCCCTGTACTCCGTGGTGGGACTCTTTTGGTGCGTGGGCGAGGCCCTGTTGGTGTGCCACTCCTGGTGGTTGGGGGACCTGACCACCAAAGAGCGGCTCAACCTGCTGCACATGGTCCTGGGAATGGTGGCACTCTGGCTGGGATTGGTGGGCATCTTTACAAAGAGTCTGGCCAAGAGCAGGATACTCGAAACGCACTTCAACTCCAAGCACGGACTATGTGGACTCCTGGGCTTCCTGCTCATCGGTGGTTCACTGGTCAGTGGATTGGTGCTGGTATACATCAGCCACCTGGCCCTACATCTCACCCACCGACTGGTGAGTATGATAGCCTTCATCTTCCTTGGCAGCAGTCAGTGGTTCGCCCTCAACTTGGGATTCGCCCGCCGGGAGTGGAGCACTCGGAAGATCCAGTGGCTCAAGATTGCCACCCTGGGAGCCACCATTTCAGTGGCCGGCTACGAGTTCCTCTGCCTCTCCAGGGACATCGTACACCTGCTGCCCAGGAACTGGTTCACAACCATCGGCCTGAAAATGAAGGATAGCCTTGATCTCGGTTGATCTGTTTTGCAGATCAAGTTAATGCATAGAACTACGAATGCTACTGCATTACTTGTAAATATTTTATTTTATTGTTAAAATATAATATAATGATAGTTAAAAATACGTAATTTTTATTATTTTATTTTAAATTAACAGCTTATTTATAAGGATATTGAATGTAAAATGCAGAATTGCAAATATTCCTTAATACAAAAGTATACATATATGTTTATTCCATTAAGGGCCGGTTTATCGAGCCGCTGACAAAATCCCTTATAGCTATCTGAACAAAAAAGGTCAAAGACCAGAAATACTTGTCGTAAAAGCAAATCGGTTTTCTTGACTCTTAACTTATCTATACGAGAAACAATGAGTGCTGTTAATCACAAAATTGAGCTGTTACGCTCCAGTACAGGTCTTGATTTAATTATTGCATTAGCTGTTTAGGTTTTGTTTGTTTAAAATTAGAAATTGTCATCTTAGTAGGCTTTGTAAAATCAGCTGTCACTTTATCGAACCAAAAATTACTTAGCAGGGATCTGAGTCCCTGACTGGATTAGCTCTCTCATTGACGCTCGAGAAAACACAATTTCCTTAGCAAGGACTTTATCTGTCCGAGAAATCCGTCCTCAGTGGTAATACAAAATGAGTAGTATAAATAAATATAAAGCTTAAAGATGTCTTGAACGGCCATCTCAAGCCAACTTTCAATTGAACAATTTTCCTACTTGCAAATATATTAATGGTTTTAAAGCTTGTCCACAAAAGCTGTAAGAAACCGAAATGTACTATACTAAAAATGAACCCAAAAAAAATCACATCTTTACTACTAATTATTTAAATAGGATGTAAATGGTCTTCAAAATGCTTTAAGTATGGATGTTTAATATTAATAAATAGGAATGTAACTAAGCAGAAAATGAATTTACTTACTTAATTCTCTCAAAATCTCTAAAACTAATTATCATTATTTTAAACGGAATAATTCTACGAATATGTTGCAGAAAAAAAATGTTTTTCAAGTTCATCTAGTATGCAAATTGATCAGTCTTTGCAGGAAACAATTCTTCGGTGACCTATATAAAACGAGACTTAGGATACAAAGATACTTCAAAATCAAAAAAAATAAATAAAAGTTCTTATAAACGGAACACAGATATACCGTGTTTTCTTTCTATGAATTTAATTGGTATAAAAATGAAAAATGCCTGGCGAGTTCGGCTAGAGTCTGCGACTCGATCGCATGTGAGCCATGAACCATCTTTCAGTCTTTCACCTGCAGAATTTCGCATTTGACCGGGCGCGAAGCCACTTTGCTGGCAAATTAATCACGAGAACAAAGCCCTAATTCGGGGTCTATCAATCAGCGGTGCTTTAGCCCCATACCATCGCATCTACGAGGTACGGCTACCCCACCCATGGGAATCCACTCGGGACATTGGGTATATGACCGGTGGCCGGGGATGGGATGCGACCACTTCGCATGCGTCGCTGACTCCGAGAGCAGGTCCATCGTAAGTTCGGATCGTATCGGCATCGGCCCTTGACTTCTTGACTTCTCGGGTTTCTAGCCAGTCTTCTGGCCTTCCAGTCTTCTGGTCTCTTGGGAGCCTGGGTTCTTTGCGTGTCTCTGATTGTTTTGTCATTAGCATGACCGGCGCGCTTTTTTGGGCCTTTGGTGATCTTCGACTTCTTGATTCGGCGACTGTTGATTTATTCAGCGCTCTTTCTTTTGTCCCGCCGGCGGGTCACTGACTCTCGTTTCTATTTTTCTATTTTTTCACCATATCTATTTTTTTGAAGACTTTTTTCCACAAATTTCGCCACTTGAAATTATGCCGACATCGACCGCAATTATGCCCAGTGTTCTTCTGGCCTGAGTGGGCTCTCTCTTTGTGTCTTTCGGTTGGGTTCTAGATTCTAGATTTTGGCCAGAACTTTTTCGCATAAAAACCTAATGCCGCCGCCGCAGATCGTACAGTTCTGTTTGGGCCTTGCTTACAATTAGGATCCGGTCGGCAGTAAATCTTACATTTCTCTGTGCACTTTCAGTTGAGAAAAGTCTATAAACAAGATGTCCAAGTTGGGAGCTATCTTGGTGATGGGCCTGTGCCTGTTTGTGGCCTTGGCCTTGGCCGAGCCACGCCTACAACGGGGTCAGCAAGGGCGGGGTCAGCAGGTGCAGTTGCAGGGTCAGAGGTCGCAGCACCCCTACATCTTCCTGACCATTCCCAAGGGCCGCGCCAATGCCGGCGCTGTGGTTCAGGGCTTCGAGATCGTCGAGGAGGAGGACGACCAGGACCAGGATCTGCAAGATGACGACCATGAGCAGGATCACGATGACGTTGAGGAGGACGATGACGAGGAACTGGAGCACCAACTGGGCCTGAACTTTGCCCGCAGCGGCTTGATCTACCGGAAGAACCAGCCCATCGATGACGACCAGGATGATGACCAGGATCAGGTGCCGGTTCAGGTTCAAGCTCAGGTCCAGGGACAGGATCAGCTGGCCAAGAAGCAGATGATGGTGCAGCGGGACCAGGCTGGCGCCATCATGGTGCCCGATGGCATCATCGAGATCGAGGGCCAGAGCGTTCTGGACGAGAAGACCGGCAAGGCGGCCCTCCTGGTGCCCCGTGCCGCCCTGGACGCCATTCCCGATGGCGCCGTTGTGGCCCTGATGGAGCGATCCGCCTCCGCCGGCGATGAAATCGAGGAGGAGCGCGCCAACCGCGTCGTGGTCCGCCGGCGCAAGAACAACGGACGCCGCAACATCCGTCGGCGGGGCATCAACACCAACAACGTCCGACGCCGCCGTCGTCCCGCCCAGCGTCGCCGTCGAGCGGGCGGCAACCGCAGGCGCAACGTGCGCGTCGGACGCCCCCAGGGCGGCAACCGGAGGCGTGGCAACCAGAGGCGCCGCGGCCAGGTCGTCCTCCAGGGTTGAGCTACAGGAAACGGCTGAGGTACCCGTCACCTCTTTCTATATAGTATTATAGTTAAGATCCACTCCCGATCAGGACACGAACTTTGAGACACTCGATAACGATGCGACAAATAAAATGTGATATGAAAAATATATTTTGTTGTTTGTTATGGGTCATGGGGAAGCCATGGTAAATAAAAGTAAAGTATATACGTACAAATTCTAGTTACTTCCTGTTCCTTCATTCTATAGGGATTAATTGCTCCTCTGATATGATACATTTTTGCAAGTTTAGATTTTGTTAAAGATAGAATTTGTAACACATTTTGTTATACAAAAGCAAGGTATTTGAATTTATGACACGAACTTTGAGACACTTCATTACGATGCGATTAATAAAATGTGATAAGAAAAATATACTAATATACCCTTTTACTCTACGAGTAACGGGTATAAATATATTCTGTAGATTTTTATGGGTCTATTATATGGGGGAAGCCATGGTTAATAAAAGTAAATTACAGTAGGCTTATTACTTTGCCTATGAAATTCTAACTCCTTCCTATTCCTTCATATTATAATGATCAATTGTTCCACTGATATCATACATTTCTACAACTTTCGATTTTTTGTAGATATATTTTGTAACACATTTTTATACTAATATGTAATATGTAAATTTATAATATATGTAGTGAAGATCCACTCTCGATCAGGACACGAACTTCTAGACACTCGATAGCGATGCGACAAATAAAATGTAAAAAAAAAAATTTTTTTTTTTGCTTTTTATTGGAATTGAGTTGATGGTTATTCATTGATCTGAATAAGATTCCATCATCCTCTACAAATATTTATATCCTTAAGTTTGCCATTGATTTGTTGAATAATATTCTTCTGAGATTATCATTTCGCATTCGAAACTCGTATAAAATCAATTCTTCTATATATTTTAATGTTATACAAAAGGGATAAATAAAAAAAAACACTTATACTCTGGGAATACTAATTTTTCTTACTTGATGATTGCTATTTTATGAATTTTTTACATTCTTGGTTTTTATATTGTGGTCCAACCGCTAAGCTGACAACCACAGATAACCAAATTTACACTATTTCCATTTCAGTGAAAATAAAAATTTACTGGGTATTCCCCAAGCAGAAAATTTCAGCAATTGAGAGAGCGACCCTAAATGGTTCCTGTTGAACTTTCAAACAGTTGTGACGACAGAAGAACTAAAATAGTCTTTTTAAATTGATTTTAAAATAAATATTGCTTACTGGTGCCACAAAAATAGTCCGAACTTATTTTTTTTTCACACGATGCCAGGTCGGTCGAAAGTCGAATTTTGTAACCCCACGAAGGGCGAGAAGAAGCGCAGAAAGAATTCCAAGGGTCTTGACAGGTAGGATCGGAGCAGATAATTTACTTTATGGCTTCACAGCCAGAATGTTTTCCGTACTTACACATTGGTTTTCTGATATTTATTTCATATATTTAGGGCTTAAGTGTATGGAGAAGGTCCATTAGGTCATTCTGGTAAGCCATCTTAGTAAATTAAATATATAATTGATTTTTAAACCCCATTTTAGTGCCCCAATTTCAGAACCGTGGCCCGACCATTTTTGTCTTGAAGGTGTAGTATTGCATTTTGGCATCAAGGGGACATCCGACAAAGAGCTCATGCCACCCCCAAAATCATGTATCGTACCTAAGGATCGACGTAAAATTAATACTGTGGAGTCGCACGATGAAATAATCGGGAAAACTGAGGATGGCGAATCTCGATCCTACCCCAGCATGTTTGGAATCAATCCCGCCCAGGCCCCAAGACGAGGCAGCGACTCGGGATTGTCTACAGGAATGTAGTTCGACCATTTCCAAGCAACTTCTACTTATAGTAATTAGGGAGAGTGCCAAGACCGTTGACTTCGAAGGCGAGGTACCCAATGAGCACATGAAGCCCCGAAGTTCGGGGAACTCAGGGATCATAGTGGGTGCCGCGGAAAACGGGTGGCATCTTAGCTACTTACTTCGCAACGGGGACGTGGAAGAGAGTATCTAGAACTACTCGTGGAAATACAAGAATTCGGAAGCCAAACGACTTCTTGCTAAGTGAAATGAGCTATACGCCTCCGAGTCGGCAAAGGAGTTGGACAGAAGAAATAAAGAATTCAATTTCATAATTCTGAGTGGAAACAATTTTTAGCTTCATATTCCTTTCTGCTCTGGGGTACGGCTTCTATTTTACGATTTCAGAATTTCGAATAAGCATGATTTTAAGCGAAAAATAATGAAAAAACAAAATTAAGGGGCTTTGTTGTTTGACTCTCGAAGAAGATTCCTTTTTTGTTTTTCTATATTATAGAAGGTTTACATTGGAAGTATACAAAAGCTTAACAAGGAAATGTAAAGTTTTTGATGTGTATTTGTATTCACTGGCAACTGAATTTTAAGTTTAGAGGCTAATGAAAATTACTGATTGGTAGTTGCATTTCTAAGCAAATACTTTTGGAAACTCCAGTTAATTACTCCACTCTGTGGGGAGGAAATGCCGTTCGCAGAGTGTAAGCTGAGGAAAACCGAGAACTGACAGCCAAAGAACTTCTGTTTGGGCCAGATTCCGGGGGTCAATCTCGACTTGACGTCAATCAATCATCGGCTGCTCGGCGATGGATGGAAGAATGTTTTTGGCGAAAGAGATGGGAAATTAGCATAAAATTCGTACGCTTCTGACCCGCGACCCGGTTCACTTTGACCCCGGGCGAACTTTTGCTAATAGAGCTAGCCGAAAAAGGAGGAGCTCAGGGGATAATGGGGATGAGGGGCGCATTTGACAGCTATCGATCAGCTGGACGGGCTCCCAAGTGGCTATATAATCCCGGGTCGGACCATCAGTTGTCAGTCAGTTGTGAGTACAAACTCAGAGACAACAAGTGATTTAGGAAGCCTCGATCCAACGTCAAGGAAACCGCAATCGTAATCCCGATAAGGAAAGCCATCTGCAGAATGCATTGCCTGCTTCAACTGAGTTTGGCCGTGGCCCTTTGCGCCCTCTTGGCCCCATCCGCCACCTTGGGTGAGTCCTCCAAAATCTGGTTAGAATAGCGCGAAACCAAGGGCCCAAGCCCTTTATACCGTATCAAAAAAGAACCTTCTGATCTCTGCCATCTAAAGCTTAGACAAAGCCACACTGTGACAAAAGGTGTTGGTCTCTGACATCATTACTATCTGTAAGATATTGTGTCTTTTATGTGTGAATAACTAATAGGGAAAACACTCATTTTAAAACTACAACAATATTATCCGAAACTTAAAAAAACATTAAAAGTTTTGGATGTATTAATTTGCAAAACATCTATATTTAAGAGCTAGCAAAATACTTTCAGCAATTTTGCAAACATCTATAACAACTTTTTCTACCTGTACCTTTATTTGTGTAAAAGTTTGATGAGTTTGATGAGTTATTTGTAGGGCATAATATATTTTAGTGCTGGATATGATTTTTTTTAAGAATTTGAAATACAATACGTTTTGGAATAGTTATTACATTTAAACTTTTATTAATGGTTTGTCACTTAAACTATATGCAAATGGTAATTATTTCATTCACTCTAGTGAGATCATTCTATATTATTTCGTAAGCATTATTAGCCTTTCATTTATTTTTCAAACCTAAAAATATAATTTCATTCGATGTCCAGGCGAACGCCGCAATATGTACCGCCTGGGTGGCCAGCGCTCCTCAGAGATTCCTGCGGAGGCCCGCTTCACCTCCTCGATCGCCAACAAGCTGACCTCGCTGAAGGGCGGCAGCTCGACGACCACAGAAGAACCCTGCACCTCCTGCTACACGCCCAGCACCTCCACCACCACGTCGACGGTCTCGCCCACTGGACCCACCACCTCCACGGGAACCACCACCACCACCACCACGCCCACCACCAGCACCGACAGTCGCGCCTACGCCCCTAATCAGGATGAGGTCAACGACGAGGATGACGAGGAGATGCCCCGATCCTTTGAGGAGGAGGACGACGACGATGCCGGCGGCCTGGAGGACGACGACAACGACGATGACGACGAGGAGAGCTTCTACGTGGCCGCTCCCTCCGCCGGCGGCATCAGCAACGCCGTGCAGCAGCCCTCCTCCGCCGACTCCTCGGTGGTCCGCCCCACGGAGCTCCAGTGGCGTCAGTTTCAGCAGGAGCAGCGCAACCGCCGTCGCATCCAGCGCCTCCAGCAGGAGCACAACCAGCGGATCAGGGCGCTCCTGCGCCGCCAGCGGACCGCAGAGAAGCGCAGCCAGCAGCGACTGCGCCGCCAGCGGCAGCAGAACCGTCGCCGCATCGCGCAGCGGCAGCGACGCAACCGCAACCGCTCCAAGGCCCAGCGCCAAAGGCAGCGCAGGAACAACATGAGCCGTCGCCGCCAGCAGCAAAAACAACGCCAGCGCAGGCAGCGCCAGCAGCAGCGCCGCCGCCTGATGCGCCTCTTGCGCCGCCGTCGCGGTTAAGGATCAAGATTCCGGTGCCCATCCAGATCTAGATGTATTACTATTTTTAGCTCCCGAATGGACTCGATCCCGATCCCCAACTGATCCGAGAACCCCCGAATAAACTGACCTTGTATGCAAAACCAAATCTTTTTTTTTTCAATTATTACTCATCATATGTGGGAGAGGAGTGATCCTAACTGGGGATTATCAATGGTACTAACTATTGAGAATGCTTTATTGTTTTATAGGGACAAACTAAAAATAATGAAACAAGATGATGGAAGATCTATAAAGATCATTAAAAGCATATATTAAAAACTTATGAGGATGGATCATGAGAAATATGATAAGGTACAATCTGCGAGGATCATTGTAAGTAAGCAATGAATATAGAGAGGGAAAAATATTGAAATTATACAAAACATGGAGCCTTCGGTTCCTCGGTTAGGAATCCCAAGTTGAGGAAGAAATCCCTAAATTCTAAACCACATAGGATGGTGGATATTTTATTCTGATATGTTTGATATGTTGAGATAAGCATATGAACCTCAAGGAAAAGCAGTCTTTCAGAGTGGTCTACTGTTCAATGAAAGAATATTTTCAGAAATCGTATTACGCTCTACAGTTGCATATTTGATATTCATTCTATAAATTGCTAAAAATCTGAAGGAAATCTAAGTACATTAAGATTACTGGGGATATGGTAAGAACAATATTAAAATATGAGCTGCATAAAACATATTACAATACTTATTCAAAGTAACCAAAAATCAGTTGCCCATGTAATATCCACAATATTCCTTCACGACTTAGACCAAATCCCTTGAAGTCTCGTAATATCGGAAAGTTCTTTGCTACAGAATGTACGAACTGTAGATCTTTCCCCGAATTCAAGTGGCTTTCTTTGCAGAATTCCCGGTGGGGTCAGTGCTTCGGTAGTTCATTGACATCTCGCCTCCACTTTCGCCCTTTGGTACTGGTACTCAGAATCTGAGATCAGAATCGATTATGAATATGTAAATGCCGTCGATTCGCGAGCTGTATGCAAATGATGAGCGGCGATCGATCGAAAGATGGCTGAGGTTACGGGTCAGATCGCGATTATTTATGGCATTATGCAAAGCGCTTACAACGCTAAAAAAAAGCAGGCCTTTTCTGGGCCCTTTCTTCGTAGGCCTAAAAACTAGCAACTAAATGGCCAAAGACTAACTCTGTCTCGCCTTCTCCACTGTTACATGTCTATTTTTCGCATGTTCCTCTCTTCTTACAGCCGGTCCCCTTGTTGTAACCTCTTGTAACCCGAAAAGGGCCATGGTTACATATAAATATGCCGGGTCTCGACCCAAGAAGTCAGTCACAGCAGCCCAGCCATCCAAGAGATACTCACATCCCAGCCAAGCTAAGGATACAAAGAAAAACCTCGAGATGCATCTGATGAAGGGACTTTTAATGGTTGTGTGCCTGGCGGCCTTTGCCAGCGGTGGGTGATCTTAGGGATCTTTCCCCCTCCCCCCCAAAAGCAGTTCAATAACAATTATATTTTAACCCACAGCCAAGCCCCAGCAGAACTTCCAGGTCTTCGGTCGCCAGCGGGATGAGCCTGCCGCCCAGGGACGCCTCAGCGCCACCCAGCTGACCGACCTGCTGAGCAGCCTGAAGGGCACCAGCAGCTCCACCACGTTGGCTCCCACCACCACCACGGTGCCCACCACCACCACGGTAACCACCTCGCCCACTGGACCCACCACCTCGACGGGAACCTCGACCAGCACCACCACCCCAACCACCACCCCCACCACAACCGGCCGCCAGTTCCAGCCGATCGAGGAGCAGGAGGACGACGATGAGGAGCAGGAGCAGCAGGTGGACCAGCACCGCTTCCAGCTGGAGGATCAGTACGACGACGAGGAGGAGGAGCAGCACCATCAGGCGGCCCGCTCGCAGGCCAGCCGCCGCCGCCAGGTGAACGCCCGCCGTCAGCGCCAGCGGCTGCAGCAGAAGAACCGCCGCCGCCAGCAGCAGCAGCGCCGCCGTCGCCAGCAGCAGCAGCAGAAGCGCCGCCAGCAGCAGAAGCGTCGCCAGCAGCAGCGCCGCCGCAAGCAGCAGCAGCAGAAGCGTCTCCAGCGCCGCCAGCGCCGCACCAACATGCGCCTGGTCAGCCGCTTCCGCCAGAGCACCCCCAACCGGAACCGCGTCGTCCGCATCGCCGCCTAAGTTTTGGAACCCCCCTGTAACAACCCCGAATAAACTGCATTGATACCATAGTTATTCCTGACTTTAAAATGGGAATAGGGAGGGGAAGCTGGAGTCGGGGTCACCACTCAGCGTAACTATTCTTTACTCACTGGATAGGATCGAGGGAACCACCCCGGGTTACCAATCTGTACTATCAATAACACCTTTTTTGAATCATCTTCTATTAAATGGGATAGGAAGTGGGGAAACAGGAGTCGGGGTCACCACTCCAGGGGACTAAGCATTACTATCAGGAACATCTTTTAAGGACCATCTATTTATTACTAATCTTTAAAATTAGGAACATCCTTTTTGGAACATCTTTTATGGAATGGGATAAAAAATGGGAATCGGGGTCAACACTGTAGGTTACTAATCTTCATCATCAGGAACATATCTTATGGATCATCTTTTAATATACGGTACGGGAAATGGGAATCGAGGTCACCGGAGTGGGTTACTTGACTTTACTGACAAGACTATCTGATAAGGAGCATCTTTTATTGAATGAGAAGGAGCTTAATTTATAGATCATTATTTATTGAATGGAATGGGAAGTGGAATCGGGGCACCACTTCAGTTTCTTTAATATTAAGAACTCCTTTTGTGGAATATCTTTTAATGAATGGGATGGGAAAAGGGAATCGGGGGCACCCCCGATCACCATCAGAAACATATTTTATGGATAATCTTTTGATAAATGAGATCGAAATGGGTATCGGTGTCACCACTCCAGGTAAAAAACTTTACTATAAGGCACACCTTAAATGGATCACCAAATATTTAAAAAAAAGAGAGGTGAATTATTAAGCATCTCGATTATATCTTATATTGGCTCAACATTTAAAATATTAAATTCCATTTAACAAGTATCAAGTTCAAATTTTCCCAATAAAGGCTATATTAATATAGTCTTATTGATATATTCTTATGTAGGCCAAAGCTACCACTCATCTAAAATATGTACAATCGCGAGAGTTGAGTTCTGAGAAGGGTTTCCCGATTCGGAAGCTATATGAAAATCTATAAGACTTGACATTATTTCCGGTGCTATGCATAGACCTTTTCTCCAAGAGCTTGAAGCGATGACTAACTGCTTGCATCGTTCTTATTGTATTATAAGTTTTGGTAAACGTTACTTTTTTAAAGGATCATTTTGTGGAAGCTCAATGATTCTATATAAATCTACCGGGTTACGAGATCCCAGAGTTCAGTCATAGCACCTCCGCCATCCAAGCTATTATTTGCAGCTAAGAAAGGCTAAAGAATAAATCCTCGAGATTCATCTGATAAGGGAATTCCTAATGGTTCTGTGCTCAGCAATCCAAAAAATGTGCTACATCTTTGCCTGTTTCACAGATCAACAGTCAAGAACTTTCAAGATAAATATTTAAAACGATCACACAGCCACACCTGTGATCATGACAATAAATAAAATACGATTTACAATATGTATGCCATTTTATTAAATGGGATGGGAAAAGGATATGTTTATTGCAGCTATAGACAACCAAATATTTACTTTCCTGAAAAAACTAATCAGTCTAACTTGTAAATTATAATAATTATTTTGATGGACAGCTCTATAAGGCTTTTTAACTGCTATTCTTAAAGTGAAAAGCTAAAATTTATTTTCCAAATTTATACCGAAATAATAATTTATATACAAGGGTGCCACAGGAATCACTTTTGCGCCAAGTCGTGAAAGATGTGTCTATATGATGCTCATAAGAAACTTAAGCTGAATGCTATGCGATTTCTGCGGCATCCCGGTAATGTATACATTTGAATTTTTTCTTTTTTTGTAAAGAGATGGATGTTATTTATTTAACCGATCTTTCATAAAATGATATTTCAACCATTTAAATTTGTCATTACCTAAGACAATAAAGAATGCAATTCTAAATAGAAAGAACTTTATTAAATTAATATAACTCCAGTTTTCATATCCCAAAGCTTTTAGTTGTTTAAAGGGTTGTTTAAAGTTAGTTGTTTAAAAAAAAAAGGATAATAGGAATGAACTTCTTGATTCATTATCGATGTTCCGTAAAATGTGTCACTGAAATACTTTTTGTTGATAGCTATGTTGTTCTATTCTGAATCGGTTTTTATCAATCACCAGCCAATTGATGCGAAATACTACGGCGAACTTTGGCTAAAAAATGTCGCACGGGTCAAACTAGTTCAACGATCGCCGAGCGGTCAACTAAATTTATGCAAAAACTTTTGCGAATGTGCAAATTTGCGAAAAAAGAAATGATAATGAGAATTATGGTCGCCAAATCTTGGGTGGGTTGTTGTTGTTAGATCGGTAACTGGAGCGTTGGGTATATAACCCCGGCTGGCCGCTGGCAATATCACAGTCCACCGGCGACCATCCCTCAGGCACAGTCCCATCCAATCCAATCGAGTCTTAAGGCCTAGTCCAGTTAGTCCCAGAAAAGTCTCAGGAAATACTCAGGAAATCCCCAAGATGAAATTCTTCTACGGAGCTCTGCTGGTGCTGGGCACAGCCATTATTGCCCAGGCGGCTGGTGAGTCAAAACTTCCATTAAAGGGCTCTCTAAAAATGGCAGATCTTTCGAAAAGACCTATGAACAAATTACAAAAAATTCAAAATATCATGGATTATTGTTAAAAAAAAAAATCTTCTTTAGTCGTAGCCCGATCCAACGATGAGACCGACAAGGAGTCAGCCCAGCAGACCAAGTACCGCCTGTTCAAACAGCCCGTGCAGATCGAGGCCCGCAGCTTGCAGCAGCTGATGGCCCTGAAGCAGCCCGCCTGCCCACCGGCAACAGGATCCACGAGCACCTCAACCGAGCCCAGCACCATCACTATAACGACCAAGCCCACAGGACCCACCCTCGTGCACGGCACCACCTCCACATACACCACACCCATCGATACCGAGACCGATAGCGGTTCCTGGGACGAAAGCGCTCGTAAGGCGAACCACCACAACCAGGTGAACGAGGACGATGACGAGGAGTTCGATGAGGAGGAGGAGGAGAAGTACCTCAAGGATCACGATGACGAGATGGAGGACGAGCACGAGGATGACGAGAGCGAGGACGAGAGCTTCCAGCTGGCGGCGCCCAAGGCCACCTCATCCTCATCCACATCGGTGCGCCGTCGTGGTAGCTCCACCTCGGGCTCCTCCAAGGGCGACCTGTCCACCAGCGAGCTGATGCGCGAAATCGAGCTGCGCCGGCAGAAGGAACTGAACGAGCAGCTGCGCAAGCAGCTGAGCGCCGCCCGCCGCCGGTCCGCCCAGAACCGCCGCCGTGCCCAGAACAACCGCCGCCGGCTGATGCGTCGCCAGCAGCAGAAGCGCCGCCAACAGTCCCTCAACAGCCAGAGGCAGATCCAGGCCCAGAACCGTCGCCACCGCAACGCCCAGCGCCGCCAGCGCCGCAACAACCGCCTCAACCGCCTGCGCCAGCGCCGCCGCAACAACCGTCGCCGCAACTAAGCGAAGACCCCTGACCCACGACCCGAATGACCTCCATGACAATCGGTTTCAATAAAGCTAATATATAAAAAAAAGAACACTCCTTTATCACTTTCCGAGGGCTCGCCAAGAAGTCCTTGACAGAACAGCATCACAAACCAAGCACCTCTCATAATATATCCAATAATATACATCTATTACATCCACTATTTCCATAATATCCATTATATTCATCGTATCCATTACATTCATTATATGCATTTTTATAATAAATATTTCCAAAACATCCTTTATATCCACTATAGCCATTATATCAATTTGATCCATTATATCCATCATATCCATTAAATCCATTATATCCATTATATCCATTATAACCATTATAACCATAATATCCATTATATCCATTATATCCATTATATCCATTATATCCATTATATCCATTATATCCATTATATCCCTTATATCCACTTTATCCATCATATCCATTATATCCGTTATATCCAGTACATCTATTATCCATTATATCAATTATATTTCTGTTATATTTATTATATCCACCATATTTATTTATCCTTTACATCCACTATATACACAGCCCTTATTAGAAGAGCTTTACCCCAGAGTAGAAAAGAAATTGATCAAAAACAACTAAGCTAGAATTTGTTTCCACTCAGAATTATGAAAATGGGCATATTCTTGTTTACATAGTGGGCAAAGTTCGTCTCATGAAGGCATAGTTCCGAAGAAAGAGAGTGGGCCTTACTGAACTCCTGCAAATCAGCGCTCCAGGGGAAGTAGGCACCGGAGTAGGGACGCAAGTGTAGCATATTGTGGCAGGTATCGATATCGAAATTCTCCGTGCCCATGGTTTTGGCCATTACATCCTGCAGGTCTTCTGCTAAAATTGCCTTACTTCGTCCGATTACAATCATGACTGTGCCATCTTCCCAAATCCAGCCTACCTGGGGTCCTCGAAGCGAACTTCGATCACTCCTACGTCGCTTTTGTAGACGGCGTTGTCGAGGCTCCTTACAGCGATTTCAAGATCTACATGACTGTGCATCTGCAGGGTACAAAACAGTCTGCAGACCTTCATTTCCATGCGCAAGCGCAAGGGCTCACTTTGGCGTTCAGTGGGACGTTCTAGGATCCCTGGCTTCTAAAAGTTCTGATCCTGACGAACTGACAAGGGCGCACGTACAAACGTTCTTTTCAACACCTTCGCCGACTCGGAGTAATATAAATCACTCAACTTTTCAAGGAGTCGTATGGCTGCAATCCCAAACGGGGTCAAAAAGTGCGTAAGCCCGTTTGATGACAATTCATGAACGGTCGTCAGTTTGCTATTGCTAGAATTTATTGTATTTTGGTTATTGACAAAGATGTGTCGAAGGCAGGCGCTCTAGCAGCTGGACCACCGTGCGAATTTTTCTAGTGCGGACAATCGGGACACTAGACCTACATATATGTTTTCATGAACGGTGTTGATACTTTAAGAACAGCGTTCTCCCCATTTCTGTCAAGGCATTTTTCAGTGAAGCGTTTACAATTACACCTAAATGTTTATGATTTGACCACGCGGCGATCGTTTTTTATAAAGGGAACTTAGCGAACGGATTGTTGGCAATTCAAAAAATAAAATTGATAACGTGTTAGAAAATGCTTAGATATTTGGCAGCAATAAGAAATTAATTGACTTTGACCTACCGTACCATATTCCAAACTTCTAACCTAGAATAACTTTTATATTTAGACATTTGTTCATCATATAATCATAATTAATCTTTTTGCTGTCAATATACAGGTACTTCTTAAAAAATATTCAAAACCGCGAGGCACAAGTTTTGGCACTTTGTGGGTCACTTTCGCAGGCTGTTGGCCACCTTCGACCCGGCAGCTTCAATTAGAAATCAATTTCAATGGATTTTCACTTTTTTTCAGCCCACTTCAGCGAAGGCCCAAGGCGCTGCAGAAACCAGAGAATCCGAAAATCAGAAACCCAAAACCCAAAACCCTAAACCGAAAACCAGAAGACCAAAACCCAAGCGTTCCGCTTGACCAAAAAGCCCATGGGATGACCGGCAGAATGATGACGGCGGTGAATTTGGAGAATATACAATATAGCTGGCAGCGATTTGCCGATTTGAGCCACCACAGCACAGATCAATTGAATTTCAATTGTGTACACAGTTTTACCGTTTGGCACTTACGGTCATTTGCATTCCACAGCGACCATTGGATTATGCTGGGACTATAAAAACCCTCATTGCCGGCCGATAGAGTATCAGAGCCTGATTGTCCAGTCAACGGCGAGCAACGCAACAATCCAAGTGATTTTGGTCCACCCCGAAAAGTTCTCTCCCCAACCAGAGTAGTTTCCAAGGAAGCCAGATCGCAAGAAGCACCTTAGCAGCACCAAGATGAAGTTGAACGCCATTGTGATCCTATTGGCCTGCTGCCTGCTGTTCGCACAGGCGGCACCCGAGAAGAAGAACATGTCGCAGAAGTCGCGCCAGGTGGAGCAGGATGCCAAGGTCGGAGGAGTGGCAGGAGTGGCTGGTGTGGCCGGTGTGGCCGGTGTGGCCGGATCCAGTGCAGGATCCTCCGCCACCGCCGCCAAGGATCCCTCTAGCGGACGTCTGTTCCTAAAGAAGTTCCTCACCTTCAAGAACCTCTTCAGCAGCAACAACCAGCCGGTGATCCCCATCATCATCACGGGCGCCGGAACGGGTACGGGCACGACCACGAGCCCTACAGCCTCGCCCACGGTGACGGTGACCTCGACGGGCACCATTCCCTCGGCCACGGGCACCATCACCACCTCACCCACCACGCCCACGACATCGCCGACGACGACGGCGCGCCGAACGGTGATCAAGGGAGCCCGCTACGGCAGCCAGGATGACGACGACCAGGAGCAGGAGCCGGAGAAGGATCAGGAGCTGGAGATGGAGCAGGAACAGGAGCAGGAGCAGGAGCTGGAGCAGGCGGCCCAGATGCCCGCCCAGGCGTATCCCGCCGACCTGATGGACGAACAGGCTCTGCAGGCCGCCTTGGCTGCCGGCGCCCAGGAGTACGAGGTGGTCACCGATCACGAGCTGCAGGGCACCGGCGGATCATCCGGCGAGGGGGCCAAGGCCACCCAGGGCAGCAACACCATCAGCCTGAGGCGCAAGGGCGCCCGCCGCGGCCAGGTGATCAGCGTCCGCATCCCGCCCAGGTACCGTCGCTACTTTAAGAACGGCCAGAAGGTGATGCTCAACACCGGCCGTCGTCCCGGTGGCAAGCGCCGCGTGGTCCGCAAGCGTGTGCCGGCCAAGAAGGTCAACCGCAAGAACAACCGGAGGCGCAACGGCAACAAGAAGAACCGTCGCAATCGCAACAAGAACCGCCGCACCCGCCTCACCGGCGTCTAAGGATCTGGATTTCAGGACTCGAAGAGGGGGATCAGGGATCGGGATCTAGATCTAGATCTTGATCCCTCTATCCGGCCCTCCCCGCAATAGCATTTTTTTTTTCTAATTTATTGTAGTCTAACTTGCGACTGCCACACTTCCTGCGGCAGTATATACCATTAATAAAGACCTTTTCAAACGTAAGCGAGCTGTTTCTTGACCTCATCTTAAAAATGGGATAAAAAATAAAAAAACTAGATATCATTTTATAAAGAATAAATAAAAACAACAAATAAGTCTCTTTATATCGCTTTTATAAATTAAAAGTAATTAAAGAAGGATTTAAGTTTGCAACATAAGTTCAGATATATACAAAACCTTCTGTTTTTTTCATTTAAGAAAAACTTTGAAAGAAGGTTAGAAAATAAAAAAATTAATTATAAAACCTTGAGTTTAAGCAAGCAAATGCATTTTAACTTATTTTAACGTATGCAGGTAATCAAAAAATTAAAGGAAACTTTAACAATAATGAAACAAAAATTAATAATAAGCATCCAAATTATAAAAAATATTAAAAAGGTACAAAGATAGTTAGTTTCAAAGGGTCAAAATTTGGTCAGTTGTAAAACCGTTAAGAAAAAGGAACTAAATTTTGTGAGGGCAACATTATGAGACCTTAATAAAGCATTAGGAATGAACTACATGCTTTAAATAAATAATTATGTTATTATTTAAAAACAAAAATTCATAGAATATATATAAGTAATGTAATGTACAATTTAACCCACATTAGCGCACATCATCTATAAGATCTGGGGTTACAGCGATCAAGTACCCAGCCAAAGATCAGCGATCGTTGATCTCCAGAAGCAAAAAAGAAGGCAAAAATAATTGTTTCTTCTTATTCTGTGGCCAATCTCCTTTATGGGCATAGAATCAGTGAAAAAATGTAGTGAAAAGTGCGTACTTGACCCATATTTTTAGGCAGAGATCACCAAAGAGATCAGATCGTGACGAATGATGGGGCACATTTTTGGGTATTTAAGCGGCAGTTTGGCCCGGGGCAATGGTCAAACATGGCTGGACAACGATTTCTGATCGTACTGATCGCAGCTTCGATCTGCTGGGCCTCTTCGATTCCTGGAATCTCGGCCAAGAGCTGTGGATCGAGGCTCCAGTTGAGATCCCAAAATGATCCCATCGATCTCAGTAGGCTGAGCGAAAAGCAGCTGCAAGAACTCCTCCAGCAGTTGGCCAAATTGCAGACAACGAAGGAGGATGGTGATGACGGGGATCTGGCGGAGGATGAGGAGGACCTGGATAAGAATCAGGATCTGGAGGATCCCGAGAACGATCACCGTGGAGGAAGTCGTCCCTGGAACCGAGTGCAGCGCATCATCCGACGACAACTGGTGAAGATACCCAAAAGATATCTGAAGAAGTTCCTCAGGCAGTTCGGATTGGCCAGGAGTATCGGTTATAGCGATCTCAGGAGTACCAATATAATGCCACAGCTGGAGGAGTACTACCTAATACCATTGGAATGAAATAAATGTGGGAAAATATACGCATCTTGAGTATAACCTTATTTTCGTAGCACTCTCTTGGGCTTTATTTTAGATCAGTAGACTAACGAGTCTACAGAATTCCACTGCCGATGCTGTCTTTCTTAAGGCTTAAAGCTATAAAGTAAAATATACCTTATTGCTTTGTATATAGAATATTTTTTATGCAAATATTCTGTAAAGTATGATATTTAAGTTTTCTTTTTATTTTTTCTTTTCCATCCTTCATTTAATTTGACGGGTCTTTAGTTTTGTCAAATGTACCTACTTTTGAGAGATATGCAAGCCTAAAACTATGTTTTAGAAAAGTAAGAATAAGCTGAATCTTTTTGAATAGCTTTATATGATCTTTGGACTTGTCGAAAGTTTTTTATCAAAGATCTTGTTTTGGTTCCATCGAAAAGCTCTGCCAACGATCATTAGGTAAAGCTTTTCACCACAGATGTTTAATGTGTTGCCTATCAGCTTCTGAACAGCTGTTTACCGGCAATAATTCTGATTATATAGTTGTCACACGACGATCATAGGGAAAACAAGTGAATACTTCTGTTTACCGAGTTATTTGTGGATCAGAATTGGAGGCAGAATGTCGGCAGGAGTACTAGCTGGAAAAGTGGCCTTGGTAACAGGTGGGTGTGGACCCCTTTCCAGGGAAACTCTAATAATTGTAACTCGAATCCATGTTTACATTTGAGGTGCCGGTTCGGGAATCGGACGAGCCACCTGCCGTATTTTGGCCAGAGATGGTGCCAAAGTGATCGCCGCAGATCGCAATCTCAAGGCGGCCCAGGAAACCGTCCAGGAATTGGGCTCGGATCGTTCCGTCGCCCTGGAAGTGGATGTCTCCTCCGCCCAGAGTGTCCAATCCTCGGTGGCCGAGGCCCTCAAGAAATTCCAGCAGGCCCCCACCATTGTGGTCAACTCCGCCGGTATCACTCGCGATGGCTACCTCCTCAAGATGCCCGAGAAGGACTACGATGACGTGTACGGGGTCAATCTGAAGGGCACCTTCCTGGTGACCCAGGCCTTTGCCAAGGCCATGATCGAGCAGAAACTGCAGAACGGCAGCATTGTGAACCTCTCGAGCATCGTGGCCAAGATGAACAATGTGGGCCAGGCCAACTATGCGGCCACCAAGGCAGGTGTGATCTCCTTCACAGAGGTGGCCTCCAAGGAGTTCGGGAAATTCGGCATCCGGGTGAACTGCATCCTGCCGGGCTACATAGACACGCCCATGGTGGCGGTTGTCCCGGATTCCGTGAAACAGGAGGTGGTTAAGCGTTGTCCACTGGGCAGATTGGGCCAGCCGGAGGAGATCGCTGAGGTCATCGCCTTTCTGGCCTCCCCCCAGTCGTCCTACGTCAATGGGGCCGCCATCGAGGTCACCGGGGGTCTCAAGTGATCGGGAAAATGGAAAACAATACATACAATCCCACTTTAATAGCTCAAAGTTCCCTGAAACTTTACCTATATAAACGCAGGTAAAATCAATTCAAAATTCAGCTGGAGTTCCGAGTTATGAAAGATGAATTGTATATATTATAGGGGCGGGGCCCAGAACATTGCATTTACTTGTCCAGCCATCCGGTAATTTTTTTTGTTCCTTAATATATAAAGCAATTTTAACAGGTGGTTCTTATTTTTCCATCTATTTGCTAACAAAAATTACAAATTACATACTATCCAGTTTCTGAATGCCATAAACTTAAATTGAATTGTTAAATAAAATATATAAACATGTTTGCAAATCAGAACTTTGACCTTATACCTATATTTGTTGTCTCCGAAATATAACTACGCCATCTATGGGTGATCTTTGTGTTGTATAGCGGAGCTTTTTAGTCCAACGATACTATCGTTTAAAATATCTGTGTAATTAAAAAAAAATACATTTGGTAAAGCTTTAAAATATGTTAATTTAGTTGTTATTTAAAAAGGTTATTTAGTATAAAAATATATATGTACATAGGGTAGACCTTTAAAATAAATGATTGAAGTTTATTTTCAAAAATGTTCCTATATTTTAAAACAGCACATTATTATCAGAACCTAACTTTTATGACAATGCCTAAAAGTATGCCAGAAAAAATTCCCAAAGCCAATTTAATGAAATATTCTTGTGGTAACCATTTATTTGATTGATTATCCCTATCTCAATGTGTATACAGTTTCGATCAGCAGTTCAGCGCCAGAAATCTATGCTCCACTTGGCGAAACCACCGCGATATCCCATTCCCATTTCGATTGACCACAAAAGGACCATCGAAGTGGGAAATGGAATGTGCGACACGGCTTGTTGTGGTTTATCGGCGGGGCCTTTGGGTGGGTATTTGGTATTTGGACCCACCGAAATGTACAATATTAATATATTTCACAATTCCCCAGCTGCTAATTAACTACGTCGCTCACACACTCACACACACAGTCGCACGGGGAGATATATGCATGTCAAGCGACACACACACACTCACACATGGCTGAGTGGTTGGGTGGTTGGGTGGCTGAGTGGTGCAAAGGGTGGGTTTTCCGCCTTTGTGGTCGTGCGTGCAATTTAAATAATGAAGACATTTTATTAATTCAAGAAATTCAACTCTCCCATACTGCCCACGCACACAGAGACACAAAGGCACCCACACACACACACCCACATAGAGCAGCAATTACAGTGGCCACCCGACATTAAGCAACCTCCAACCACCGACACCACCGCACAAAGGGGCACACAAAACTTGCCAGCCATTTTGGGGTTAGGGTCGATGGGCGGAAAAGCCACCCACCACCCACCGCCCACCGAACCACCCAACCACCCAACCACCAGCTGCTAGCTGGTGCGTTTCCCATTTCCTTTGGTTTTTAGTGCATAGTGAAAAACAAAACATTTGCTAATCATATGAAGCGACCCTGAGCTGAAGCTCTTTTTATGCACTCAAAAAAATTTCAGGACTAATAGAATTCACTTATTTTGCTAAGAAAAGTAGAAGAAGAAACACTCCCCCTAGAAAAACTATTTTCTTTATATTTTTGGCATAGAAAATGATTACATTTCTTAGTGAATTTTCTCAATTTTGTAATAATAAGCTTATAAAAACCAAAATTATATAGAACTGAAAAGTTTTTTAAATTTTCTTAATATTATTATATTAAAATTTTTGTAGCTATAGGTACCTACCATTTATTCTTTTTTAAATATCTAATGCCGTTGTCATTGCTTAAACTCTAATGTAAGCCTTGTAGTTACTAAAAATATATTGATATAAATATATACGTCCATAAAAATACTTGAAGAAGTGTCTAATTAGACTATAAGATAATCCTTCTTATTGCTACTGTGGGAATGGTCTGGCAACGCAGAACAGCTGGTTCACAAAAGAGAATCGAAAAAATGACGACGTGGCAGGTCTGGCAATTTAAAAGGCGGAGAAACATAAAGAATTCGCGAGGACGACAGAAAAGACTTGCGAAGAACGACTCTATCGGTAAAATAGTGAACTAATTCAACCATCTTGTAACACAAAAACATTAATTAATAAAACTATAATAAATATAATAAAACAAATGGGATATAGCTTTAGTTATTTGGAAACCTAATCACAACCCAGTGTTTTTGATCTGTTATTTCCACTACTCAAAGCGTTTCTTCAAAGTGGTTCTATGATTTTTCCGAGTGCATTCAACCACCTGTCCCTGCCGCTCCTTCGACCACTCTCTTTGTAGCAATTAACAACGCAGTGCGACACAAGCGGCGACGACAAGCCAACACTTGAGCCATAAACCAGCCCAACACGACCCCCGGAACGACCCCAAAAAACCCGAACCCCAAAGTCCCGAGTCCCCATAACCCATAACCCATATCCCATAGCCCACAGCCCACATTCCAAAACCCCCGCCCAAAAAAGACCCTCGACTTCGGAGCGACCAGCGCTTTGGCACTTGCCATATCTCATGTTAATGAAATCGTAACTCTTCGGGCGCCTCGTGTCCGTTTTTTGTCCTCCGCTCCCCGTCAACAAAAAAAGACATCCAAAAGGAGCCGAGGGAACCGAAAAGCCCGAAAGGATGTTGGATGTTGCCGGCAAAACTCCGCACGACTTCACGGACAATGGAAATTGGAGTTCCTAAAGGAGGTACTACAGACCTTGGCCAATTGTCACCGAGTTGGAATTGAAAGAAAACGTGATTTAAAAAATGCGAAAATTGAGCAAAAAAATAAAGAATGGGGATCGTTTGCATAGGTAGCAAGCTGCTCAAAACAGTCGGTCTTTTAGCTGTACGCCTTGAATTGGCTCAACTACGATAAAAAACCGAAAAAAAATGTCGCATTTTTGGCAAAAATCTGAATTTGTATTTTTGACAAAAATGTGAACCCTTGTGATGCAGCCCCTGCAAAAAATGAAAAAATTGGTCAAAAAATAAATTTTCCTAAAAATAATGAGGATCGTTAGCATTTTAAGCAATCTGCTCAAATCAGTCGGTCTTTTAGCTGAACGCCTTGAATTGGCTACGAATTGAACTACGATAAAAACCGAAAAAAAATGTCGCATTTTTGGCAAAAATCTGAATTTGTATTTTTGACAAAAATGTGAACCCTTTTTTCACCAAAAAAGTTCAGTTTTTTGGCTGCTGTAACAAAAGTATAAGTCGAAACGAGAAATGTCATACCTCGCTGAACTCGTTGCTTAATTTCCAATCTATTGACATTTTAACCTGAAAATTTTTAATTTTTGCCATTTTTCGCAAAAAAGTGATGCAACCCCTGCAAAAAATGAAAAAATTGGTCAAAAAATTAATTTTCCTAAAAATGATGAGGATCGTTAGCATTTTAAGCAAGCTGCTCAAAACAGTAAGTCTTTTAGCTGTACGCCTTAATTTGGCTGAGCTACGATGGAAAAATCGAAAAAAATTTCGCATTTTTGACAAAAATCTGAACTTCGTATTTTTGACAAAAATGTGAACCCTTTTTTTCACCAAAAAAGTTCAGTTTT